AGTGCAGCCAGGCACGGTGGCACATGCCTTTAACCCAGAAGCTCTGAATGCTGAGACAGGAGGATCGCAGGTTCAAAGCCAGCCTCAGCAATGGTGAAGTGCTAAGCAACTCAGTGAGACCCTGTCTCTAAATAAAATACAAAATAGGGCTGAACCCCCTCGATGGGTTTCATTTGTGTATCTGCGGTTAAGATCTTGCCCAGTAAGGACTTTAAACATATGATGCAATCTTACTGTCAGTCAAAAGTTGTGATGTGGTTGAAGAGAAAGTAAGGACTAAGAGACGGGTAAGTGAGAAATGAAAGACGGAGACCAGGCTGAGATACACACTAGAGTTTATTTTTCAGAGCTGACAAATAAAGGCACATCTCTCCATAGATGGAGAGAGGCAAAACAGGCTTGGGGTTTGGGACTTTGATGGGGCAGGCTCAGGAATTAGAGACTTAATGTGGGCAGTTAAGGGTTGGGTTGGTATGAGAGAGTGGTGAGCCTTTCTCAGAAAGGCCCTTGGGAGGGATGATGAAACTTTTTCCTTAAAATGGTGACTGTCACTTAAGATGGGTGTCCAGATGCTAAGCAAGGACCTTATAGTGGTACCTGGGTGGAACTCTCTTGTCCCAAGCTACCCTGAAGTTCTCGCTTCAGGGTAGCTTGGGACAAAGGGTACCACGTTACTCTTACAAACAACCTGCTCCCTCCCTCCCTCCCTCCCTCTGTAAGATGCTTTCTTTCCTAATAAACTTTGCTATTACCTTTACCACATTTCATGTCTTGCCTGAAATTTTCTCCTGCAAGAACACAAGAGTCAAGAAATACACCTTAATCCTGAACCACCACCATTAATTTATCTACCTATATCCTTTCCTTTTAAAAATCATGAATGATGTCATCTCATGAGAGTTCTTTTGTGTCTTACTTCTTTTTCCCTTAAGAATAGATTGATTTTTACCCTGCCTACTTCCAAAAAAGGACTGAATTAGCTTAAATAAAATCACAGGCACAAGACCTAAAATTGTTAACTATGACTCAAGGACAGAAACCAATAAATACAGGAGCCAAGGGAGAAACTATATTCAGAAATTATAGCTAACAATTTAATTGAATATAATACAAAATTAATAAGGTTTTTTAAAAATAGACTCCTAAGTAACCAATGGCCAGAAGTTATTTTTGAAGGGAAAAAATTAATTTTACCTAAGAAGAGACACAGTAATGAAAAGAAAAACAGTCTAGAGCTTAAAAAGATAGTGAACTGTTCTTGCTTTTTTAAAATTAGAGCTTTATAGTTATATGTCTCTTGTTGCTTTACAGTCTCATCCATGTCAGAGTTTTAGCAAAAAGATGCAGAAGAGTTGCCATCAATCCTCAGGCCTTTCTCTAAATAATGAAACTGCAACAATCCAAGATAGAGGATAATTTTAGAGTATATTTTATTGGTTTTTATAAATTCACATGAATAAACAGGAAAGAGGAAACTTCAGACAAAACAGTGATGTCCCACTGCAAAGAACTGATCCAAAAAGACCTGGGAAAATCACTATCTCACCATCCTGTGGGTTCCTCTAGTGACGTTATCCATCTCATCTCTCCAGGTTGTACAAAACAGCAGACTAAAGAATAATAATCCTTATAAATCTTTCCTTAAAGTGTGGCTGCACTGAGTCAGATCCTATCAGTGTGAAGGATGGGGACCATGCAAATAAAGAAAACAATTTTAATTCACCCACACTACCAGCGACTGGCTTTCAATCTTCCTCTCTCTTCCATTGCCCGTCACCTTCCTGGGTAATGTGTACACAAAGTGAATGATCCAGAAATTTTATATCATTTGGTGACCTTCTTCACTCTGATGACCATCATCTCTAATATTTGAACTCCGAAATTCTCTCCCTTCTGTTACACCTCTTTCCACTTTCCTTCTGCCTCAAATTTTCTGAATCTGTTTTTTCCTTCAACTATACTGTCACAGTTCACCTCCATTTTCCCAGTCTATCAGTCCTCTTCAGACAGATTCCACTTGAGTCCTTACCCAGGCCATATCTCACTGACAATCACTTCACCCTCCTACACAGAGCACCCTGAATTCCTCCTCTCCTCCCGCATTGACCCTGTCCATACTTGGTTGCCAGTCTATGTCCCTAATAAACTCAGTGATGTCTCTGTTCCTCTGACTCCTGAAAATTGCTGGAGAAAAGCCACTTGATATAAAAAGCAAGTCCCAAGAGTTTAGGACACACAGATTTCAGTCTGCATCTGACTCTTGCTATTTATTAGCCAGGAAAATTGGAACAAAATTATATAACCTCTCTGAACATGTTTCCTAATTTGTAAAATAGGGTATATCCTTTATAATATTTTCAGTTGTTACAGAAAGACCAAACAAAAGTAGCTTATTGTCTCCCAAAACAAGGCAGCTCAAGATTGGTTCTAGAGGTCTCTCTCTGTCACCAAGAACAGAAATAGTTTTCTTCTTATGTTCCTCATTCCTCGGTCCATTGATTTGGACCTTTGATTTGTTTCTTCATGATTTCAACATGGTGACTACAATTCCAGGCTTCACACATAGCCCTGAAGCATAGCTGAAAACTGCATTTCCCGCCCCATGCTTCTCTATCCTAGGGAAGAAAACCATTCTATTAGAATTCTTTGGCAAGGTTAGGTATCTACCCTTTAGCCATTCACTAGCAAAGGGAAATAGGATTGCCACAGTTGGCTTGTGACTAATCATAATTCACTCTCTGGGGCTAAGCAGGGTGCATCTTCCCTGAGCACACTTATCACTATACTCGAAAAAATCTGTCGAGTAGGCCAACACTTTCTGCCACGTGAGCAATAACACACACTCCAATGGGCAGTTATGAAGATTATATTGAATACATTTGCAAAGTTTACTTGGTGCTCCCTGGCACACAGTAGGCAGTGATTTTCAAATATGCTTACAAATTCTTTCATACTCTCTCCTTCAAACATGTACAGCTAGCCCTGCTAAGTGGCACATGCCTGTAATTCCAGTAACTCAGGAGGCTGAGGCAAGAGGATCACATGTTTGAGACAAGCCTGGGCAATTCAGTAAGGCTGTCTCAAAATTTTAAAAAATGTAACAATCAAAAAAGTGTTGGAGATGTAGCTCAGTGGTACAGTGCCACTGGGTTCAGTCCCCACTACTGAAACAAAACACAAGGGTAAAGCTAATGCCCTTACCCTTGAATATGGGCCAAACTTAATGACTTACTTCTAACAAAACTAATTAGGCATATAATGGTGTGAGACCACCACCATCAGGTCATAAAAGATTTGAGCTTGTTTTCCTCTCCTAGATGGCCCACTCAGGAAAGAGAACAAACATGTTTTTGAAAAATCAGCCCCTACCTCAGAGCAAAGCCTGTCCAAGGAAGGGGGCGTGACCCTTGTCCTTGGAAAGACCCACAGAGCACTCCTAGGCACATACTCACCCTGCTGAGTTGTTTATCTACAAATAACAGGAGAGATCTGTGGCGCCAGGTGTCCCTGACTTAGTTAGGCTAGGTGGGGACCCATAGCAACCCCCTAGCAACCACCAATCAGCATGAGACAGGTAAAATACCTGGGATGCCAGATGACCCCTCAGTAGTTTATGGTGGTTGATAACATGTTGGGAAACCATGTAGTTCAGCATGTACTCCCCTCATGGCTTAAACCAATCAGTTCAAACGAATCCCCCTCTTGTACTAACCAATCACCCCTACCCAACTTGTTCCCATCAGTCAATGTGCTTATCATGTTTTAGAGTTGTTTTATGATTTTCCCGAGGTGTGTGATGATTTGCTAAGAGATGCTATGATGTATGTGAAGTCCCTGCCTTCCCCAAAGAGTGTATAAAACTGCTGCAAACCCTGGGCTCGGGGCCTCTCAGCGTCACCAGTTGCTGTGTGCACAGAGGACCAAGCTAGCTCCAATAAACACCACTTTGCTGCTTACATCGATCTTGGTCTCTGGTGGTCTTTGGGGGGTCCCGAATTCAAACATAACAGTTTTAAGGACAGCCTTTGTAGGGGCCCACATAGGGGGAAATTAGGATTCCCACCAGCAACAAGCAACAACTTCCAAGCCAGGTGAGTGAGCTGTCACCTTGAAAGTGAATTCTCCAGCCCCACGAAACCCTTTACATGATTGATCTCCACGCAACATCTTGGCTGATCCTCATGAAAGATTCAAGTGAGAAGCTCTCAGTAAGTTCACTCCAGAATCCCCGGAAACTCTGAGGAAATATATATATATTTTTTTAAGCCAACAAATTTTTGGGTAACTCTTTATACAGCAATAGATACAACAGATTTGATGCCAAATAGAGGGTTCTGCTACTTGAAAAAAAATTAATGTAGAAGGTTTGGAACTGAGAAGCTGTAAAAACTTGGAAGAATTAGTGAAAATGGGAAGGCCCTGAAGGGACTGTTTATGTCAGTCTTTGAGAAAACTGCCAGGAAAACCAGTAAAATTTTATAGCTTCCTCAGACAATCTGAGTAAAATGTGCCTTGATTTTCTTTAATAAATTCTAAGTCTAGGCAAATGCCTTAATGAGCCTTTCTGTACTGCAGAGGGTAGAAAGTATAAAACTACATTTCCCAGGCCCCTCCTGCAGGTACGATTTATATAAAAGATAGGATTTCACCAATTAGATACACCCTCAGGAGAGGTGGGAGGCAGCAGTAAGTGAAGGTCATCTACCTAGGGCTATGACTCACTCTGCTAATAAGTCACATTGTGGAGATTTTAGGTTTTTCTGAATAACCATCTTCAGCATCTACCATAAGTATGGCCAGTCTTGTTTCAGTAAGTAGCACCATCTACTTTAGCCATCTTATTTTGAAGTAAATCCCAACAATGTCATTTTATGGACATGTTTCGGCATCTTCTTTTTTAAAAGTAAATTCTTTAAAAAATAGAAAACCACATCATCATTCCTAAAAAAATGGGGAAAAAAAGCAATAGTTCTTTAATATAATAAAGCATCCAGTCAATGTTCACATTGCCAATTATCTTTTATTGATACACAGGGGTTTTGGTTTTGGTTTTGCTGAGGCAATACCCAAATAAGATCCACAAATCGCAAATGGTTGATATGCTTCTCAAGTCTTAATGTGCGAGTTCTTCCTTCATCTGTGTGATTTTATTTTCTTCGCAATTGTTTTTGAAGAAAGCAAGTTGTCTAGTTTCCCAGTCTGTGACTGTATCCTGATGAGAGTGTTTGTCTGACATTTTCCGTACTTCTGTCTTCTGGAATTTCTACAAAGTGGTTGTTAATCTGGAGTCTTGATCAGATTTAATTCTCCAAGACAAAGGTGCATTATCTCTGAGAAGACTTGCATCTGTCTCTATCAGGCTGCTAATGGTGACACTATCAGGCTGGGACCCTCTTTTAATGCATTTCATGGCTTGCAGGGTTTTTTGGTCTCCCCTAGTGATATGACTTTAAGCTGTTAATCTGTGAGGACTAGTTATGTTACAACTTTTCAGGATCATTTTATTAATTTATTGGTCTCTTTGTTTATCTTCCTTGGAGTCTTCTGGGAACAGAAAGGAGGGCAAAATTATCTGATCCATCCCCATCACCACAAAGGCAAAGCCTTTTAGTGTACTAGCTTTGTGGGGTGTCTCTTACTAGTATCCAAGTTGCACAGCACCTTTAAGGGCTTTCACTTAGACTTCTCCCATAAGCCCCTACTAACTGGCCAACTATGCAATGTTTTTAGGGTGTTTTTAATTTTCCCCCAACTTTCTTAGTGGGAGGGTCAGCCTTAGTATGTAACTATGAAACACACATGAAATACACATATCCTATACTAAATTGAGACAACAGTGCCAGAAACACGCTTTGACTTACACACCTCCTTCCAGGTTCGGCCTCTTATGTCACTTAGTTCCTTTCCTAAGAATCTAAGATCTATGACTAGATCAAGGCTATGATCCTCCCCAAATAAAGTTCTCATGCTGTGAGCATGACCTGCCTCAAGTCATTAGATATTGCCAATGCTATTTTCCTTAGAGGGCATAATAATTTCACAAGTAAGGACAACGTTTTAGAACCTCGTTTTTAATAAAACTTCATTTATTCTACCACTAGTATAACAAAACACAACCTATAAGCCTAAGCCAGGTTTAAAATTATTTAGACATATTTTCATACCTTCTTGTTGAAAGAATATTTTCACCAAATGACTTTAAATCCACAGGAAAGAAAGCATATTCAGTTCTGCATTGTGAGACCTGTGGATAAGCATTCAACTTCATCACCCCATTTCTTTGTCCCATTTTCACACCCTGCAGCCTCTTCTGCATATGACCAGAGATACAACTATTGATGGGTCACATACTCTGTCATTTCTCTACCCCAAAATGTAGTCAGTCCCAAAGTTGAGGAATTTGTTTACATTTTGACTTCACTAGTATTAAAATGCTAATATTTCATTAGTTTAATTCAAACTGAATAACCTCTAACAGAATAAGTCAAGATTAGCATGAAGAGTGCTCCAGAACCTACGAAAAGTACCAAGATTATACCTTTAGTGATGCACAAAAGCCATGAACTTGAAGTGTTTAATCTTTTTCCTACAGAAAGTCATTTGAATACTTTAAGCAGGAGAAAAAAGTTCAGATTCACCACCTCCAAAAGAATTATTCCTCCTCACTTAGTGCATGACAGTTCTGACTCACAGACATAAATGTATTCAATTCTAGTCCATTTTACTAGCTTTAAATATCATGCACCAAGTACTAAGCTTTTGGACATAGTCACAATTAAAAGAGTTTTAAAGGAAAACAAGCCAATATGCAAATACATTTTCCAAGGAGTATCACCAGGAATAACTTAAAAGCCTCATCTAGTTGCCACAATTAAATTATCACATCAAAGGTGAACCCACCTGCAATTAAGTCATCAACTGAAAGCCCATGTCATCTATCCCATTGTTTGCTAAGATTGTTTGAATATTTAAAGTTAAAACATATACAGCTGTGATTTCCTTGTCATTATTTCTCATATATGGAAGTCATCAACAAAGATCTATTGAAGAAATGCAACAAGAACTAATTTTCAGTCAAGCATGGTGGCACACACTTGTAATTCCAGTGACTCAGGAGGCTGAGGCAGGAGGATCACAAATTTAAGGCCATTCTCAGCAACTTACAGGGATCCTGTCTCAAAACAAAAAATAAAAAAAGGTGCCTACAGATATAGCTCAGCTGATAGAGTGCTTGCCCAGGGTTCAATCCCCAGCACCACAAAAAAAAAAAAAAAGAAGAAGAAGAAAGAAAAAAGGGGCTGGAGTTGTGGCTCAGTGTTAGAGCACTCAACTGGCACAAGTGAGACACTGGGTATGATCCTCAGCACCACATAAAAAAATAAATAAAGTAAATGTATGTCTCCATTTACAAGTAAAGAAAAAAATATTAAAAACCAAACCCAAAAAACTAATTTTCACATTATTTGCACAACATGATAAAAAAAACTAATAAGGTAGACACTGTTATTCATTCTTCTTTTCCGTTTTCTTTCCTTCAAGGACGCCCGACATATAGCTGAACATGTGGCAGTTTGAAATAGACCATTTCCCAGCTTTCCTTGCAGCTAGATGTAACCACATCACTAACCTCCAGCCAACAGGATGGAAGTATAAGTGTCCTATGGCAGCTTCCAAAAATCTTTAAGACCACTGGTACTTTCTCTTTGCTCCCTCCTTCTTTGTCCATTCTTTAATAGAATATAGTTAGGATAGTTGGGGTTCAGTCACCATCCTGGCCTAGGAAAATGAGTGCCATAGCCTGGCTATGGCAGCGTAGTGAGCTATAAGGGCCCTAGATCCCCAAACTTCATGAAAAAGAGCACTTCCATCAGTCCTTGGACCCTGGGATTTTCTATTAAGGGAGAAGTAAACCTTTCTTTTGCCATTGACATTGGGCTTTTCACAAAATACCAGCTTTCTTTGGATAAAGGAAGAAGGCAGTTTCATAAATGGCAGGTTTTTATAGACCTATACTGTGTAGCCACATCTCTCTCAGGAGGAGGTATTATATCTTTTGAAGTAATTATCCTAACACTTATGACAGATGCAGCTGCTCTATCCTAGGAATCAGAGAACTGAGGCTGGAGTTGTATCTCTGTCATTAACTGGCAAATCAGTTAACTTCTCTAATCCTATCTCTTTATCCATTAAATTGGGATAGCACCATCTATGTAATAAGATTCTCTTGAGATTTAAAATATAACATATGAAAGTGTTCCAGAGTATAAATCACTATACACATAACTGTTGGTGAGAATAATTGTAAGATTCCTGTGAAGAGAAGCTATCTTACACTATATTCTCAGTAATAAGTGCTCAATAAATATTTATTGAATAAATATTGTAAGTCCCTGTTAATGAGTAAATTAGTCTGCTTTCCTGAAGTTCAAAAGTCCTTTCTGCTATTTAAAGTATTATTCGAGTTCCTAACAGATATAATTCTTCATTTGATGTCAATCAAAAGATACAAGGGTGTGAAGAAAAAAAGCCTTACCTAATCCATTTTTCTGGTTCAAAAGTGGATCCCTACTTATTATACCAAAATCAACTAGAAGAAAAACTGTGGTACAGAAATGAAACTTTTATGACCCTTTCCCCCTGAAATTACAAAGTTACACACAAAAATATTCTGTAATATTTAAGTTACTAAACCTACCACATCAAACGAAGGATTTCCTCACACTGGACTGTAGCTAAAGCATTTTATTAAATTAAGTGTGAAATTTGCAAATGGTTTCATAAGAAATTTTAAAAGCAAAGTTATAAACATTTTCAATAAAAAAGTACAGAGTTAACAGCAAAATTACATTTTCTTTATAGTACAAATAAAAACATTTTGTTTCTGATATACCATCTGAAGATCTTATATTCTCCAACTGATAGCTGCAATGTTATATTTTAAGGAAAAATCTCATGGTTAATTCAATCATTTATTAATAACAGGTTCATCATTTGGACCATAAAAGTCAATTGCTCAACTTTAAGGAAAATAATAAACCTTGTCATATTATAACATGAAGTTGCAAAAGGCTCTTCAAGACGCAGATGTGTCCTGGCCTTTTTTCTCTATTAAATTCTGTAAAGAGGCATTAAGTAATACTGTAAACTTGAATTACACTTCAAAAATAAGCACCATTAACATACATTCTACATAAACTTACTTTGCCTTTTAAATGACACTTTTTTTGCCACACAAACAATCTGTTCTTTACATGTAAATAAAAATAAGCAATATTTAATCACTACACAAAAATATCATCAAATTTCACCTCATTGCACAATGAAAAAGCATTGAGAAAAAGCACTGGAAAAAACACCGCACATTATTTTTATCTTTTTTTTTATGCATTTTGCCATTTTCTTACATTGAGAGCAGTTAAAACATTGTCAGAGCAATTTCCTGAGTTTCAAAAGTTTCCAATTTCCAGCTCAGAACTAACTAACTAATCATGTTATTACATGTATCCTTTTCCTAAGCATACAAAAACACTTGAATTTAAAAAGAAAAAGGCTATAATAAAAAGACAGAAAACCATCCAAAAAAAATGTTTTTCCTTTCAAAATGTTATAATATGCAAAACATTTAGAGTCACAATATCTACTATATAATATGAACCATATTTAAAGGCCACAGAATTGCAGATAGTATTGAAATACTATTAGAAGAAACTTCAACTTGAAAATAACAGAGATATATGAACAGCCAGTAAGTGTATGAAAACATGCTTCTAATTTCTCACATTGGACAAAGGAGATACACAGATTGCAAACACTGTTAAGAATCCCCTGGCCCAGAGGCATGCACTCTGTAGTTTCTACATTAGTTCTCTTTTTCTCTTTCCTCTGGAAGATACCAGTAAGAGAATACGAATGGATTTGATACTAAAACCTTCCAAACCACAGAAGTGCTATGCTTTTCAAATATTTTAAAGTTTACAAAGAGCTCTTCTAATATACCATCACATGAAAACTTCAATAATGCCCAAGCTATCTTCCCTTCTGGCATATAGGATTTGAAAATGGGCAAAAGAAGAGGGATCATAAATTTTCTTTCCCAAATTACGTGTTACTTAAACTATACTAGGTAGGAGGGCAGGAGGTAGTATAGGTTTAAACAACTTCATAAAAATATTTATGATGCACAAACTCTGCTTGCAAATTTATCAATGGTAATGAAGAAATATTACCAGATTTACCAAAATAAGACATAAAATTGAAGTTGATACAGTATAGAACATAGCTTCTTTCATTTAGGTTTTACTCATAGACTACCATAACTACTTTTGACTGCTCCCCTATTAACAATCATTATCATCATAATATTGAAGTAAATCTGGCCGAAGGGCTCAAAAGTGATATTTTTTTAACCAGGTGAGAAAATATAGACACAAAAAGTGAGTATGCAACTGCATATACTCCAATACTCCACATTTTAGTGTTGTTTTTAATCTCTTTTAAATCATATTAATTTATACATAGGGATATTTTTATTTCATTAACAAGTATAATTTTATAATAAATTGTCAAAAGGAATTGCCTATTTTAATGTATACAACACTTCTAAACATTACAAAAGTGTGCAGTTTAGTTTATTGGCATGTTTTCCCATGAATTATTACAAATGTAAGAAAGTGAATAATACTTCACCAGTCATTAGCATTTCTAAATAATAAACATATATTCCTTTTTGTGGAAATAAATTCAAAGATAGGCTTTTTCTTTTAAAAGCATGCATGGATGATTTATGAAAACACATTTTTTGAGTGTTATTTTCATTAAAATGTTTGCTTATTTGGGAAATCATTCTGTATTTCCAGGATATTTTTGGTAACAATCCTATTATTCCTGTCCAAATGATTTTTTAAACTAAATAAAAAGCAACACAATTGTTTGCGAAAATTATATGTTGAAAGTATTCTATATATCCAAAATCAAATTTATTTTAGTAACTATCTCATACTAAAAAATTATACATTACCACACTAAACCTGTATAAAAAATTATACTTTACATACTTACAGGACTTGTTAGCTAATGAAACAAGAGGAGTCAATGAAAGTTTCCGAAAGTTGGCTCTTTTTCAAAATAAACGTAAAAATCTTTTAAACTGGACAGATTCCTTTTATGATGATATTAAAAATGTCTTCTGATTTAAATTAACAGGATTGTGACCTACTAGTTTAGAAGTTACATGCCCCCAATATAAAATATAGTTCTTTAGTGCTGTCTTTGCTGCCACTCAGGCAAATGGTTGGTTCTGGGAGTCCTAGAAGGCAGTAACAAGTGGCAGACAGCCCACCATCTCACCTCTGAAGACCTTTCAGCCTATGGAAAGGATAAGACTGCAAGATAATCTCAGACCCAACTTTCCTCATAGAAAATGCATACACAGAAGAACAGAACAAAAGGAAAGAGATGAGCCACATACAAAGCAGAAAAAAGTATGACAACGAGTTCCCTTCTGCAGGACAGATAAAATGAAATGATTTTATGTATTTGGCTTCAAAAGCAAAAAGAATTCAAGTGTTGTTGTTAAATAGCCTTTCTTTCTTTACTAATATTAATACACACCTCTGAACTGGTTTGAACCAGTTCTCAAAGCACATTACCTCTCACAGAAGCCTTTAGGACTTTGCTAAATGTCAAACAACAATTAATACAAAGGTAGCATTTTCTCTTTGAGAAAGAATCAGAGCACTTCAGACTTTAAAATTGCAGCTGATAATTTTCTTAGACATTTTGTAATCCATAAAAATTCTCTTTAATATTTTTAACAGGTAACATTACTTGGAATTTGATTCAGTAAAAAAATTAAACTTCTCTTCAATTTTGAAAAACAATTTTTTTTCTTATAAGTGAACATTGTTCCTAATAAACACACGTTTAAAGCAGAATTGATTGAATTATTTCAAATAAAACTAATTTTAACCTACAAACCTTCATACTTCTAAGTCAAGGACATTTATTTTACTTTAGCATGACTTTCAAGCACCCTGGTTTAATTTCAGAGAACCTGCAGAAATGAGAAAAGAGATGTTTTAAAGATAAAATTTTCAAATTGGCTAAGAAATGTTTCTTTTTTAAGTATTTATGCTTAGTGATATTTACTATCAAAGTGCTCTCCTTTGTCTATGTTTATGTTTCTTTTAATCTATTATCAAAACAAATATAACCCTAAGGCTGCGGGTTACTCCTAACTCAATAGTCAACACAATTTAAGATTTTTTCAAAACCTCTCAAAAGCCTTTATGAATTTGGCCTTCATGAAGAAGAGTCTGCTATATGGAGGATAAGACGGAGTCTGCATTACACTGTTTTTGTGCATAAAGCATCAAGAAATCTCTGATAAAGCAGGGAAGTCTGATTCTGGCCATGCAATACTTTCAATTGTCTCATGGTAAAATTTCAAGGAACATTAGGCAATAAAACAGATCATTAATCTCAACAATTCTGGTCTAACTACTCCTTTGTAAAAATATCTGAAATGTCACTTGTTTTCATGCTCAGAAATAAAGCTACCTTTTTCTACACTGTAGCCAAGAAACATTTTATTACATGCCATACACAAAATGGCAAAAATGAAATAAGTGGTTACCCTAACTAAAATTGGATGGGAGGCATGACTTAAGAGCATATATCCTCAGGAAATTTATCCATCAACAGATCTTTAATCTTGGACTTGGCATTTTCTGTTGTTGAATAATGGTCACAATAAAAAAGGACATTTTAATGTATGTCAGCAAAAATCATTAATGGAACTTATGAAGACATATAAATTCATATTAACTGGAGAGTTTCTGCTAAAAAGTTTCCACACTGTCAAACTAAACTACATTTTAGCAAAAGTCCAATTCCATTTAAAAATAATTTTTCTTTCAAAAGAATAATTTAACAGCAAAGCTTAATCTATGGTATGTATACATATAATCTAATTACATAATATATTATCAAAGGAACACAAATATATTTAATATATTCTATATTATTTTTTAGAATTTCAAAGTTATGATAAAGTTTTATCAGACGATTTCTGAAAATAAATGACTTTTTTATTGCTGGTTTATCGCACCACATAAATGTAGCAGGGAAGTTACACCCTAGTCCAAGTATGAATCTAGGCCTAAACCATGAGGTTCAATTCAGTTAACTATTATGATAAACAGACTGAGCATACTGTTACTGTTTACCTAACTACATATGGGCAATTATCATTATTAATACCAGAAATCTGTACCCACCTGAAGCTATGGCTTGTGAGGTATTTAATGACAGCTGGTTTGATGCGAGCAACTCCTCCCTGGCTGTGGTTTCCTCTCCCAGTAATCACAGAAAGATAGGGCTTACCACCATTCTGTTTAAACTCTGTTACAACAGGAATTGGAACAGATAAAATCACTTCTTACATTCTCAACAGAAAACATGCCTTAACTACTCAAATGCATATGAAAGGTTCATGATGATTTAGAGGCTCATTACCTCAGAAAGCCCCCAAATTAAAAATATGTTTTAAAACATACACTGCTGGGCTGGGGTTGTGGCTCAGTGGTACAGTGCTTGCCTAGCATGCATGAGGCACTGGGTTAGATTCTCAGCACCACATATAAATAAATAAAATAAAGGTCCATCAACACCAAAAAAATATATTAAAAAAAAAATACATTGCCTCACAGCAATTTCTCCACCTGAAAAACTTAAGTGGAACTTCTCCTATGGGAAAGGAGATTTCCATGCATTACTGCAAGTTCTCTCTGAAATGATGGTGACAGCAACAATATTAATTACATCTAACAATTACTATACACAGAGGGTTGGGCATGCTTTAAATGACTTATATTTTTGTCTGAATCACAGTTTTGCCAACAAATGACTGTATGACTGTGCACAAGTTACTTAGCTTCCCCTGTGTCTGTTTTCCTCATCAGGAAAATAAGATAACAGGATTACTTTATAGACTACCCCCCAGGAATAGCTATTAGCAAACTCACTAATTATACCATGAAGTGTAGTCCTACTGTTAAAGATGATTGTTAAGAAATTCTTCCTGATAGATAACAGTTAAAATACTGAATGAGCCTAAGATTTTTGAACAACTAAAGTTCCTGCTTTAGAAATGACCTTGGGAAAGCCAGTATATAAATCTTGAAGTTAATGACAGCTGTAAAAGCACAAAAAACAAAACCTGCTCATGATACAAAGTTGATTTAATGAATTCAATAAATATCTTCGTTCATAAATAGCACAAGTTTTGCTCTTAGCATAAAATACATAGAAACATAACATAGCATTTCATCTTCTGCTTATTAAGTTGTCCTAATACACCAAGAAAACCCCATCATATGTTTTTTCAAGTTTTATCATCTCCAGAGCAATGTTAGGCTTAGGAAAAAAAGAATTTTGTATTTTATTTTTATTGATTGATTGATTGATACTGGGGATTGAACCCTGGGATGCTTTACTATTTAGTTACATTCCCATTCCTTCTTGTTATTTTATTTATTTATTTATTTATTTATTTATTTATTTATTTAGAGACAGGATCTTACTAAGTTGATGATGGTCTTGCTAAATTTCTGAGGCTAACCTTAAACTTTCGATCCTCCTGCCTCAGACTCCCAAGTCACTGGGATTACAGGTATCTGCCACTGCACCTGGCTAGGCTTAGAATTTTAAAAGAACACATTGCTCTTGCATTTTTAATTCCTTATATTTGCCTAAATTTCCCATTTCTACTCTAATCCATAGCCATTATTTCAAGCAATGTTGTTAAAACTCATCTCTTTCTGGGTGCTACCTATAGTTAGGTTTCCACTTTATAAAAAGGCTTTATACTACACACCTGTAAATAAGGGAACTGTTGTTTAGGTATGTTATACCCCAAAAGTTTACTTACCAAAAATACCTTAAATCTCTTAACTGACCATAATTCACTCTCACACACTCCTTCATTATTGTTCCCCTTATAGGTTAGGTCATTTATACCACCTCACCTTTCAAAGTTCACATGCTGCCCTGAAGGTATTGTCCAGTTGATTCACATGCCTCAAAGTGGGAGTTCAGAGGATATTTGCTTCATTAATTAATTAAAGCGTATGTTTAACTTCCCAAATTACAGGCTGTTCCTGCTATTTAACACTTTTGAAAAAACTCTTTAACTCACTTTTCAGCACATTCCAGACTATTTCAACTGCAAATATATCAGTATGTATCTCAAAAAAGCACTCTTTTAAAAAATGTCACTACAAGTCAGACACACTGGTTATGTGTCAGTAGTCATAGCTACTTAGAAAGCTGAGGAGGAGGATCACTTGAGCCCAGGAGTCAGAGAACAGCCTGGGCAACAGTGAGCCCCCATCTCAAAAAAAAACAAAAAACAAAACAGCAACATCACCATCTTACAAAATTAATAACTCCTTAATATCATCAGTTTCTAAAAGTTTCTCTCCCAGTTATTTTTAAAATGTATTTTTAAAGTGATTTGTTTGAATCAGGATTTATTTTTTCCACATTTTTACTGGTGTATACATGATGATGGGACTTGATGATTTGTTGGTACATTTTCCTACATGCACACAATATAACAATATAATTTGGTCAATAAATTTCCCCAGCACTTCCTCCCACCCTCCAATCAGGATTTAAATAAGTCCACATATTACATTTGGTTGATGTGTATATGTTTGTACACATAATACACACACACACACACACACACAGTGGTGCTGGGGACTGAATGGAGATTGAATGGCTAGTATGTGTATATATGTACACGTATGCATACACATACACATGCATTTTGTTTTCAATACTGGGATTGAATTAGGAATACTCTATCCTGAGCTACATCCCCTCCCTTTTTTGTTTTGAGATAGGGTGTTACTAAGTTTCTCAGGTTGCCCTCAAACTTATAATCCTCCTGCCTTGATCTCCTGAAAAGCTAGGATTATAGGCAGATGCCACCATGCCCAACTTAGTGTTTGTTTATTTGTGGTCCTGGGGAATAAGGATTTGGCTCAGGTGGACACTGAGCTACATCCCAAGCCCTTTTATTTCTTATTTTGACACAGGGTCTCACTAAGCTGCCCAGGCTGGCCTCAAATTTGCAAACTTTCTACTTCAGCCTCCAGAGGGATTATGGGCCATGCACCAGCACTACTGGTCAGCTTGGTATATTTCTTAAGTAACTTTTAATCTAAAGGTTTTTCCCTCCTTTTGTGTTTTTCTTTAAAAAATATTGAGGAAAAAATGATTCATTTATCCTAGATTTTTGACAATCTGGATTTGCTGATGCATCCCCATTCGTGTTGTTTAACATGTTCCTCTATCCCGCATAAATCTCTACAATATGTAATCAGAGCTAAAGGCTTGATCAGCTTCTGGTTGGATTTGGGGGCAAAAATACTCTGTAGGTAGTGATGTGAACTTAAGTCACAAAACACAAGGCCCAGATGTCTCTATTTTTTTTTACAAATCTACAATTTTGACAATCCTTTTATGTTGTGACAAAAAGCAATGCAGGGCAGAGCAACAGTTTTTCCCCTGAAAACGCTTCTATTCAACAATACTACCATCTGGTGGTGATTTGCAGTAACTACAGGCTACTATAGGTCACCTCATAACAAGATGGGCTTTGGCTTCCAGAAAAAATTTGTATTTTAGCTATGAAGAGGTGTTACCATGGGCAAAGTATTTCTTTTTTCTTACAATTTTTTTAATTGAGATAAAATTCACATAACAAAATATCATTTTAAATGCATAATTCAGTGATTTTTAGTATATTTACATTTTACAACCAATCCCCCTAATTCCAGAACAGAGAACATTTATCATCTCCAAAAGAAATTCTGTGCCTATTAGCAGTCACCTCCAATCACACTCCTTTCCAGCCCCAGACACCATGAATCTATTTTCTGTCTTTATGGATTACCTATTAAGACATTTGAATAAATGGAATCATACAATTCCACTGTATGGATCTACTACATTTTGTTTGTGTATACACACACACACAGAGATTATTCAATGATGTAAAAAGAAGGAAATGTTATCATTTTCAAATATGGATAAACCTAGAGTGCATTATATCAGTTAAAATAAGCCAAGCAGAGAAAGACAAATACTGTATAATTTCACTTATATATGGAATCTGAAAAGGAAAGTCCAGGAGAAGAGAGTAGTGGTAGCTGGGAGATATTGGTTAAGTGTACAAACTTTCAATTTTAACAGTAAGTTCCAAGGAGCTTGTGTAACACTGGCAGCTATTACAAATATCACTGTATTATATACTTGAAATATGCTAGGTCTAGATCACAAGTATCCTCACCACACACACAGAGAGAAAAAAAGTGGTCACTCCAGGAGGTATTGGGTGTACTGACTTGACAATTCTGCAAAAATCTATCACCTTATTATTTTTATATTTTACTAAATATCAATTAAACAATTTATATCCTATAAATATCTATTGCTTAACAAACATCAACTGAACAAAAATATACAATATTACTGAAATGTCTCATTTATAAGTCACAAAAGATTCTCAGACTACACTACACCTCCCTTCAATAAATATAGCAAATAACCAAGACTGAGATATAAAGGGAAACAATGTGAAAAATGGTCATTCCAATGAGAACTGTCTACAAGAAGGCTCTATGGAAGAATGACGAATATAGCTATGCTAAGCCAACAAGACACTCATATACGTATGGCACAGATATCCCCAGCCTGCATGTTCAGTTGCTCCTGAATTTGCAAGTTATATCAAAAGACAATTTCTATTCACAATAGAAAAATGGATCATCACCTCACTCCTACCTTCAGTTTTCTGCTGTAAAACTGTCATCAAATGTTCTATTGCTTCATCCACATGCAGCCCATGGAGGTCTAAGACATTCTGCGGCAGCAGGGAGGCATTAACTTTCTCAAAGATCTCCACAGCAGCAAGGTGGTTGGCTTCTTTCATTTTCTGCTCATGAAGACTGCCCTTTAATTGTCAACAAATCACCAATGGACATTTCAGATATTTTCTACTTAAATGAAGAGGAAACTAACATTTCCTCTGCTCTAAATAAAAGGCAGAACGATAAGCCTAAAATCTCAAATAATCCAACGGGCTAAAGTACAAGAACCGCACCAAAATTTAGGTAAATTTCTGCAAATTAATAATGTAGTTTTAAAATATTGAATCATGGTTTCTACCAAATTTTTTGAACCAAAAATCATAAAAGAAGGAAACTAAACACTAGCCATCTCATGAAAGAGCCCACTCATTCAATATTGATAACAAGGTGTGCCCTTTGATAATCTTGGTTTCAGGGTCATTCCCTCTCATCATCCCACAATTACCTCCTACAGTCATCACCAGGGCCCTGTTATCAGGGCTCACAGAGCTATGCCAGCTTGACACCTTTCTGTGGTCAACCACAAAACAGCCATTGTGGAACCACAAAATGAAAAGTAAATCCAGAGGATTTCTTAAAATACCATGCAAAATGAGCCCCGGTGGAAATTTAATTTCCCTAAAAAATATTAATGTCATTTTCTTTTTCTGACCATAAAAGTGATACATTACTAGAGATTCAAATACAACAGAAAGCCCAATACCCACTAATTCCACTGAGATATATTCTGCTTCCTTTCCTCCAGAAAACTTACCCATTTAGAAGTGGCACTGAATGATGGAATCTAATCTTAAAGAAAATATGGACTGTCAGAATAATATGTAATTCACATAGGCTATAAATATGAAACAACTGAGTGGCTGGGGCTCAGTGGTAGCGCACTTGCCTGGCCATGTGTGAGGCACTGGGATCATTTCTCAGCACGACATATAAATAAATAAAATAAAGATTTATCAACAACTAAAAAAGTGTTTAAAAATATATAAAACATAGCATTCAAAGGAGATGAAATTCACACAACCACATTTTGTTTACATGAGAACGCCTTATTGATATCATTTATATAATCTCCAAACCACGCTCCCTACCCAGTATAATATAATCACAACACAGTACAGGTGTTATCTGCTTTAAGTTATTTAGATACCACCATAACTGACAAAGAAATGAATTAAAATCAGTTTTCTACTTTACCTGCTGGGCATAAAAGGTGGCAACATTTTTCTTCCCCATTCGGTAAGCTTCCTTAGCTTTGCTATAGCATTCCATCCTCTTCTGCTGGTGCAGGAAAGCCTCTGCCCTGTAGTCATCATACTCAGGGTACTCGAAATCCTGGAAAGATGGTTCACTTGGGGTATCTTCAGTCTCCTTCAATTTCTTTGCCTATAAGATATTACATAGTAAGTAACATTCAAAGACAGTAAAAAACACATATCTTCAGAAAACACATACAAAACTTGGGCTCTCTCATTTATCATCTTTCTTCTCAAAAAACAGATTCTACCTTTTAAGTCAGGCATTTATTGACTATCAGTAACTTTTTCATGTCATTAATGTTACCCCCCCCCCTTTTTTAACCATTCTTACCTCAGGAGATGATGAAGAGTTCCCTAAAGTTATGAAAATATAATTAGGTCACATACAAGCCAAAAAACAGAATATGAGATATTGAAAGAATAAAACTCATTTATCCAATGGAGGAATTCCAAGTTCATTAAAGGTAGAAATGGCATATTTATCTTTTTAAAAATCCAACTGAGAACTGGTGGTATATCAGTGGTAGAGCACTTGCCTAACATGTACAAGGGCCCTGAGTTCAATCCCCAGCACTGCAGGGGGCGAACTGATACAATAAACTGAACAATCTTCTCTTTAAAACAGAAGAGCCAGTCGTGGTGGCCCATTCCTATAATCCCAGCAACTAGGCAGGAGTATCAAAAGTTCAAAAGCCAGTCTCAGCAAAAAGCAAGATGCTAAGCAACTCAGTGAGACTCTGTCTCTAAATAAAAAATACAAAATAGGGCTGAGAATGTGGCTCAGTGGTCCATTGCCCCTAAGTTCAATGCCTAGTACCAAAAAAACAAAACTGAAAAAAGAGCTTGAGGAGTTATCATGGCTGGTAGTTAATAAAGATTGTAACTTTGTTCATGGGGCAGTTTCAACCAGCTAATTAGATGAGGTCAGCCACTAGCTACTGAGGTCAATTAGCTATTACTAGCTATTACTCAATTTCAAAGATCTTTTTAAAAAAATTATCATGTGATAATAATCATGTGATAATATTATCATATTAAAATTATCATGTGATAATAATAATGTATAAAACAGACCCTTAAAGGAAAAGTCACTGTACTGTAAAGATAATGAAAATTAACTATTATGTAAATTGCCTCAGTGCTCTCCACCAAAGAGGAAAATTATATTTTTAAAATAATATTGTCACATCGTGCATCCAAATATCTCTAGAATATCAAAAACCAGTGTTAAAAAATAAATAAAATACAGCCCAGGCATTGTGGTGCACATTTATAATCCCAGCTTCCTGGGAGGCTAAGGCAGGAGGATCATAAGTTCAAGGTCAGCCTGGGTTCAATGAAAAGAAAGAAAGAAAAATACAGTGATTTTTTTATATCCAATTTACCTCATTTATCTTCTTTTGGTGTTTGCAAAGAACTGCCTGCAAACAGCAATTTCGTCTCTCCTAGCTTATTATAGGGGAGGGAATTAATTAATACTACTTAAACTTACTTCCTTAAAAAGTAAAAGAATTCCAAGCAATAAGTGCCACACCAAGTAATTTAATAAACATTTATAGGCATTCAATACCAAAACCAAAACAAATTATAAATTTTAAATATCATAAACAAGTCATATTTTTTCTGATATCATGAACTGAAAGTAATAATGTAGGTTATTTGTTAAAATTTAAAAAGCTGGAAATTGTTATTTTGTTAGAAGTATTATCAAGAGATAAATTATAAAGTCATAAAACAATCCTTAATAACTTTGGCTTAAAATTTTTCTGTAATCTTTAATGTATAGTAAATATTATATAAAAATTATAATGTATTATATAATGTACATGTATCATACTAATTCATTAAAATTTTTTTTTCACATTTCTTGTCTGTGAACAGAGTTCAGAAGCCAAGAAAGACTAGAAAAAAACTGGTATAATATATACTAGTAGATGATTATATAATTTCTCCACTATTATATTTTAGCTTATTTGGACCCTAGAACTATAGAGGCTTGAAAGAATAATAACATTACCATGCTTCTAACTCATTACCAGACCTAAATCAATCAATTAATTTTTGCAACAAACACCCAACTTATTTTATGAAAAAACAATGCAAGGATGCCTCTTTTATAAAAATATTCACAGACCCTATCTTCTTATTCACTCTTGCTGGTGCTTAAGCACAGACCAGTTTATATTAAAGTTCAAATATTCTGAGTGCCTGGCTTACCTTCCTGATAAAATCAAAGACTTCAGCGAGGCAGTTTAATAAAAATACTTTCTACAGCCTGGTGCAGTGGTGCATGCCTGCAATCCCAGCGACCTGGGAGGCTGAGACAGGAAGATGGCAAGTTCAAAGCCAGCCTCAGCAAAGTCGAGGCACTAAGCAACTTGGTGAGACCCTGTCTCTAAATAAAACCAAAATAGGGTTGGGGATGTGGCTCAGTGGTTGAGTGTCCCTGAGTTCAATCCTCAGTACCCCCCCAAAATAATACTTTCTACAGTGTTTGAAATTTGCACAATGCCTAACACTATGGACATCATAAGTCTCTTACAGCAAGGGTCTCTTTTTACTAAACAATGCAAATCATATTTGGTTCTCTAATAAGAGATCTTTCATTGCCTGTTTTCAAAGAAGAAAAAACAGTAAATGATAAAAGATACTTTCTCAGGTACTCTTTTAAAATGCAGCTGGCATTTATTTTTATATCCATTTCATACGAATGTGCTATATTATAATTTCATTAACAAGAGCCAAGTGAAATATTATTTCTTTCCTAAAAATCCACCTAATAAGTATCACTTATTCTCTTATAAGCCTGATTGATGCACTCTAATGCCAAAATCATTTCCTATGGATAACAAACCTGTACATTTTAATAAAGGCTAAAGAAATAAGTAGTAATATTAAAATGTACAGATTTGTTATCCATAGGAAATGATTTTGGCATTAGAGTGCATCAGGCTTGTTAAAGAATCCTAAAAGATCTTTACCAGTTTTGTGACACCTGCCCATATTTTGTGAGCAAGACTAATCTCCAGAATAACTTAACATTTTGGTCAAGGTTTATATAATTCACACAAACTCCCTTTTCTGATTTTCCAGTCATCTCCCACTTCAAACAATACACCTCTCCTCCCTATCATTTCCCCCATCATCAGAATGACCCACAGTGCCTTGAATACCATTAGGACAGAGAAATAATCTTCATTTCTAGTCTGGCCTACAAGGCCGCATGATCATTCTGTACACTATTTGCATCTTATAATAAATGGCATCTATCTATCATGGTACCTTATTTTCCATATGATCAGAGGCATCAAGGATATCACTTAGATTCTGTTCCAAGAACAGCAATAATAGGTCACATGAATAACAGAATTACCCAAGTCCAATATATCAACTATGTCATGGTGAAATATTCAAAGAAAAAAAGGAACAAGTAATTTATCCCTGAGAATTCTTAGAAATAACGATAATATAGGGCTGGAGATACAGCTCAAGGGTAGTGCTTAATGTTTTATTTTTTGATGCTAGGGATTGAATCCAAACAAGTCTTTACCACTGAGCTATATCCCCAGCCTGGTAGAGCTCTTACCTAGCATGCCAGAAAGAAGGAAGAAAGGAAGGAAGGGAGGGAGGGAAGGAAGGAAGGAAGGAAGAAGAAAGGAAGATAAAAAGAGCAATATGATAAAGTTATGTAAAAATGTCTACTTATATAAGATTAATATACAAAAATTTTTTATGCATTTACAGTGAACAATACAAAAATAAAATTAAGAAAATAATTCCAATGTAAAATGTGCAACAACTTTGGAAAAAGAGCAGGGTACTTTCTCAAACAGTTATGTTTCAGCCCACATATTTACACTCTAGATCCATTATATTATAAAACCCCACTGCTATTCAATTTTGGGGGTGCACATGGAATTCTAAACCAAATATGCTATTGGTCATTAAATTTCCCATAGTCAATGGTGAGAAATAATCCTTAAAATTATTATGCTTAATGAACAAATCTTATTTTATATATAATTATCTACCATTATAGTGAAAAAGTAAGTAATTGTATACCTTTTTCTCTTTAGTCTTCTGTGCAGTATGAGAAGTGACATTCTCATTTTGGTGAACAAACTCTTGAGCTACAACTGTTTTTACAGGATCTCCTTCGAGAACACAGTTTAAAAATTGCACTGTGTGTTCTAACGAATAGCTGTAGAAAGTTTAAGTACAAATACAATGTCAATATGTAAAAATAAGATATGTGGAGACATTAGCATAAGCAATCATCAAGTATTTTGTAAGAAATAAATTTTCAACACTGAAACAAAATGTTTATTGTGTATTTCAAAGAGTCAAGAATGATCTACAGGAAGCTGATCAGGAACAGGATCACAAAAACTAACTTTAAAATTCTTAAAAAATTTCCAAAAGGTAACAATGGAGGGAGGGAGGGATGAAGAAAGGTTGATCAATGGGTACTAAGTTACAGTTAGATAACAGCAAGATGTTCTAATGTATTATTATATAGAAGGGTGATTATATTATCTATATTATCTACATCTATATAATATTAAACCACATTGGATACCCTCATGTTCTAATATCTAAAGAAATTAATTCCAAAGAAAATGATAAATTATTTCACACTACTCATTATTTCAGACTATTTATGCCTCTCATTTCTTCCATTGGCCAGATAATGAAGTGTTGACCATATCTGAATATTTTTGAAATGTTACAGGCAGTTATCTAAAATAGTATGTATTAGTACTCTTCAATTTATCATAGATGACTTGTGAAGGGAAGCCATTTGGGACTTGCAATTTCGCTTTAATCCTCTCATGATGCTGCCTTAGAAAAGCTCAACACAGAGGGGTTTCTAGGGGCTGAACGCTACTAACAACTATCCAATCTTTTTGAGCCCTTAAAATCACCTACCAGCTGGACATGGTGGTCCACACCTGTAATCCCAGAGACTTGGGAGGCTGAGGTAGGAGGATCATAATAAGACCCTATCTCAAAATTTAAAAAGCTGGGGATGTAGCTCATGGTAGAGCACTCCTGGGTTCAATCCCAAGGATCACAAAAACAAACAAAAAATCATCTGCCCACTCATGGGGCTGGAAGTTAGTCCCCACCACTGGTATTGTTTTGAGGGTTATGGCCCTAGATGATTATACTTCATTCATAAGTATAGATTATAAGATTATAGTTCAAGTATAGAAGTAACTTAGCCCACCTACCCTCCTTACCATAATGAAGCTGAAGCTACTGTTTGCTAAAAGAATCAGCTGTTGGCAGATAACCACCCACTCCAAGAGCCTGACTAACCAATCACTCTGACCATCCCTAGAAAGGACTCATGGAACCCCCTCACCTTGCCTGGGGAATACAACTCTGAATTGTTTCACCTCAAATCCTCTGGCCCCTGCCCCAACAGAGGAGAGCTACCAGATGCCAGCAACACCTCCCTATCCCGGAACCTTCAGAGATCTTAATACATAATTTTAAGAAAACAGTAGGTTGGTAGTAAAAATAAATTTTAAAATTATGGATTGAAATAATACTATTTAAAAACTAATTTAAATGACTTACTTAGAACTTTGCATACTTAACAGAATAATATTCTTTTCAAAAGTACTCTATAAAATATTTATAAAAAGTAATCATGTATTAAACCACAAGGAAAATCTCAAATTCCAAAAAATAGAACTCTTTTTGGCCATTTTCTTTCTTATTTATTTATCTATGCACGCAGTACTAGGGGTTGAACCTTAGGGCCCTCTACAGCTAAATTATATCCCCACCCCTTTTTATTTTTAGTCAGGGTCTGGCTAAATTGCTGAGGCTGGTCTCAAACTTGGATCCTCTTGCCTTAGCCACCTGAGTCACTGGGTTTACAGGTGTCTACCATCATGCTTGGCAAGAAAAAAATTTTAAAAGGGTCAACCTTACTAGTAATTAGGAAAAGAGAGAGAGAGAGAGAGAATAGAGAGAGAATTTTAATATTTATTTTTTAGTTTTCAGCGGACACAACATCTTTGTTTGTATGTGGTGCTGAGGATCGAACCCGGGCAGCACGCATGCCAGGCAAGAGCGCTACTGCTTGAGCCACATCCCCAGCCCAGGAAAATAAAATTTCAACAATAATGAAATATCTTTTTTCCTATCAGATTGGCAGAAACTTAAAGTTCCTAATATCCAGGGAGGTTATACTCTCTGTACATATAATTAATACAGCCAGTCTTTATTAAAGGAAATTTGCATTAGCTATAAAATTTTTCAATGACACACACTATAAAGCAACAATTTCACTTTTAGGAATTATCCTACAATAGCATTCACCCATGTACAGAAAGATGTATGTTCAGGGATGCTCACTGTAACATGGTTAGAATTTTCTTACCAGAAACAGAGGTATATTTAAATAATTATGGCACTTTGGATTAATCTGCAGGCTTGAACAAGAAAAGAGCAGATCACAAGGACAGAAAAATAAACACTAGCAAAACTACAAAATCAGTACATAAAATACAATCTCTTATTTAAGTACACACACACACACACACACACACACACATGAAAGCAAATAGGCACATATCATTAGCACATATGTAAGAAAAACATTGAAGAATATGCATTCCCAGGAACTGTTAGCCTTCTACATTATATACATTGCATTTAAATTTGTTTATATATTATTTTTTAATGAGAAAAAATAAAAAAAGATTATTTGGCATATGCTTTCAGTGACATCAGAGTAGAAACTCTAGATACTCCTTCTAGTACTCACTTGTGATCCTTGAAAATGTCCACCAGAAAATTTTGGTTAATGGCTGGAAATATCTTAAAGAGCTGCTTCTCCTTTAGTTTAGTGGCACAATCTTTTTCAAACATAAGTGTCTCCCTTTTCTAAAACAAAAACATAAAAATCACCTTTTAAGATGAAATTTATAACACAAGCAATGCTAACCAAAAGAATAATTATTTTGTTGCAAAAAAACTAAGAATTTACAAGCAATCACAGAATTTCTTCACTGATTAATGGTTGAAGTTAGTAGTGTATCATTGCACTATTTATTTATATCCCATTTTTAGAAAGTATTTGAAACCCAAAGGACTTAAAATCAGCATAGTACAGGGACACAGCCACATCAATGTTTGTAGCAGCACAATTCACAATAGCTAAACTGTAGAGTCAACCTAGATGCCCTTCAGTAGATGAATGGATTAAAAAAATGTGGCATATATTCCATATTATGTATATAATGGAATTTTACTCAGCAATAAAAGAGAATAAAATCATGGCATTTGCAGGTAAATGGATGGTGTTGCAGAAGATAATGCTAAGTGAAGTTAGCCAATCCCAAAAAACCAAATGCCAAATGTTTTCTCTGAGATAAGGAGGCTGACTCATAGTAGAGTAGGGAGGGGGAGCATGGGAGAAATAGAACTCTAGATAGGGCAGAGGGGTGGGAGAGAAAAGGAAGGAGCAGGGTAAGGTTAGCAAGGGTGGTGGAATGTGATGGACATCATTATCCAAAGTAACTGTATGAAGACACAAATTGGTGTCAACATACTTTATATACAACCAGAGATATGAAAAATTGTGCTGTATATGTGTAATAAGAATCGTAATGCATTCCACTGTCATTTATTTTTTAAAAAATCAATAAAAGACATTATATCATCTGATGATGCAAAAAAAAGAAAGTATTTGAAGTTGCTCATAAATATATAACTATATATATATATAATCACACAGATGTGTATGGGTGTATAAATATGTACACACACACTTATATACATATCCAATACATTCAATCATATTAATAAAAGAATATATATATATACAGTCATGCACCACATAACACCATTTCAGTCAATGACAGACCACACATACCATGGTGTACCACAGCCTAAGTGTGTAGCCTACACTCTCTTGGCTCAAGCAAGTACACTCTATGATGTTCACTCAACATATTGCCTAATGTCACATTTCTAAGAACATTATCCCTGTTTTTAATTGATACATGACTATATATAAATAAATAAAAGGTTAAGCATGGGGTCCAGTCTAGGAAACAGAATTAAATGAAAATCACAAACAAGCACAATTGATTGAGTCAGAAACAATAGCTTAGTATTTGTACTAACTCATACCAAATCATGTTTTTCCTGTAAGGCAATTTCTTCCGACATTATTTCTCTGAGTGATACTTTTTTAGTTTGAGTATTCCAATGATCCAACAAGGGGAGCATTTCGGGTGCTGCTAAAGTCTTCAGCAATTTTTTGCCTGTTCTCTGAGATGATTTTTGTTCAGGATTATCAAGACCAATATGTCCAACCAGGGAAGAATCTACAAGAGCAATATAAGTACTGTCAAATCCTCAACAATTAATGTACAAAATCCAACAGAGGTCAAGGAAATGTGCTACTGTTTTTAGGTTTTACTTTTCAGCTTTTAAATATATAATAGCTCTGAAATTTCAAAATACATCTACACATAATTGCAAACAAGAAATAAAATGTGTAAGTGTAGGAATATTTCAAATGAGAGCATTGATCTGAATAAAACTATTAATCAACTTAGCATATAATGGTGACATGTATTTAGGACACTAATAAATAAAGGAAGTTGCAGCCAATGAATTGAGCAACTGAACCCATTGGTCAGTTCTGCCCAGCTACTGCAAGGACTGAGAGGATCAATATTTTGGCAAATCTGAAACTCACTGGAGGCACACAATAAATATTGAGCTAATGATATTCAAAATAAAGAACTGAACATTCTAAGAAGTTCACAGTAACAGAATTTAATGTGTAAAATTTCAGCATCTCTACAGACACATGCTGACATATTGCTTTGTTTTCCCAGGGAGAGAAGAAACAGCAAACACTGGCATTCCCACAACCACCATACACTCCAGGCTCTTCTACCCCTCATACCGCTCTAACTGTGGAAACTATGATGTGAGCATAGGTCTGAATCCCAACCTAGAGCTCTATGCCTTGGTCACAGCTGGGAGTGGACAAAAGAGATGCCTGGAGGATTTCATGAACAAAGAAGTACCCTTATCAACACTCTTCCACCCCTCAGCAGAAATCAATGAAGACAATGCTGCCTTAAAGGAATCATCTGTAATCAAGTATTCAAGCTGGTAGGATGTACCAAAAAGCAGGCTGGCCTTTGGGCTCTAATATTTTAACATCAGTAAAAACTTTGAATAACCATGTAATTATTCAACAATGCTCTCAGGTATTATATTTTACTGTTCTCAAACCAAAATACTTTTCATTCATGCAGAGCAAAACCTTAATAGGGAACACTTTGACTATATTTATTAGATCATACTTTAGGTGTTTCACAGCACTCATGATAAAGACATAGTACAGAGGTTTTATTCTCCTTTTTTATTTTATATCAAGATTCAATGTTAAAGCTCAGCAAGGTAGGGTATGCCTGTAATTCCATAGGCTGGAGAAGCTGAGGCAGGGGGATCACAAATTCAAGGTCAGCAAGGCCCTAAACCACTCAGTTAGACCCTATCTCAAAGTATCAAAATAAAAGATTCTAGGGATATAGCTCAGTGGTAAACCACCCCTGGGTTAAATCCCCAGTACAAAAAAAAAAAAAAAAAAAAAAGGAAGGAAGGAAGGAAGAGATTAAATATTAAATACTTTTAAAGAACTTTCATTTACAAATCAAAATTTGAGTAACATTTTTGGAAGGACATTTAGAATGAGTTCTCACACACACACACACACACACACACACACACACGTTACAACATTAAGACAAGAACATCAAAAATAAAAATACATGCTTTACCTTGAATAACCTTGCCACAAGATACTTCCTCTTGTCTTTGTCGCTCCTAAAAACGAATGCAGAGCAGGGGATTAACAAAGGAGTGCACTGGTAACCAAGCTCACAGGTTATATTATTTTTCTCTAAAAATCATTTCTTTTTATATAATTGTAAATTGTTCTTACTAACTGTAAGGAAAACAATAAAACTAGATAAATGAAATTATAAATATGGCTATATCTACATACTGTTCCACTTACAGAGCTCTTACGTTGCATTTTCTAAAAAAATGTTTTTGAAATTTAATCAATTCACATTGCAGTGTTTTAGGGAATAAAAACCTCACTGTTTATTTTTTTTCTTTAAAAAAAAAAAAAAAAAATCAACAATCACACTGAGCTCCATCGCTAATTATATAATTGGCCAGTCTGGAAATAGCTCAAATACTGAAAAGAGAAAAACAATCAGTAATCTGTTAACTGGTAAAAGTTCATTCTCTCAAAGTCAAAATTCAATAAAACTTTTATATAGTATGGTAGATTTTATTGAAAACAAAGGTAACAAAATAAGACACAAAAGGAGTTCTTCATATAAAGAAGCCTACCAACCATTACAGATTCTTTCCATTTCTCATGAATCACTTTAGCCAGATTCAGATCTATATGAACCACACAATCCTCAACTGTTAGAGACCCTTGTAAAGGGGAGAAAAAGAAAAGAAAATACATTCATTACTCGTTATATATTTGCAGAAAATGTACTCAACTATCATATGCATTATAAAGCTGATTTGTATTATTAATTAGTAACTTATGCTCATCTATTTACTTAGCCTATTGGAATATTTTTCTGTTGTCATTGTTTTCACACTTCTTAATTGGTACAATTATACAAAGTTTCATAAAGAATCTAAGTTATTCACTTTCCTTAGTTTCAATACATGTAATTGATTCATTTCCATTAGTTCAGATTTTTCAGTAAGTGTGTTCTAAGAAATTAATTCTTGCTTTAAATGTATCTGGAATAGCACCAGAAGACTCAAAGAAGCTCATCTGTGTAAGTGTGAGATTAATACCACAGTAAATATTCAATTCACACATGGGATGGATACAAACTACAATATAAATGTTCTCTACTTCTTCAAATCTCTTTTTATTAAATCCTCTAAGACACATGCTGAGCAAAAATTAAGGCACTATGTGCAGTCAGCACCATAAATTACTTTTACTTTTCAGTTAGCATATGAAATAGTTTTGCAATTAAATAGAACCTCTGTATTTCTTTCACACAAAGACATAATATAGGTAACTTAGTTTTTCCTTACCTGAATCAACACCAACTGGGCCAAATAATTCATTGAGTTGAAAAGCCAGTTCTGGGGGTAATGCCAATTCCAGACAGTCTATGGTCAGAGATTTGGCCATCCCTGGCATGGGATTCAATATCTCAGTTTTATCTTCTTCATTAACTCCAACTGACAAGCTATTTCCTGCCATTAGAATTTTCTCCATTTCCTGTTCATCTACATTCATAAATTCTTCAGAGTTCACAAATTTCACATAATCTTTTGAAAGATTTTCATTTTTCTTTATTTCCAAAGAGTCAGTAAAGTAAACTTCTTCATTTAATTCAAGATTTGAAGTACTTGATACAGAGTTTAAAATATCTGATAAATTTAAAGAAGAACGCATACCATCTTCAGTCTCTGCCGCTACTAGACTGTTCTCTATTTCACTCACATCTTTAGGGGTAGCGGATTTTAGAAGAACTGGAAGAGACTGCTTGAAGCTACATAAACCTGATAGTTCTACCTGGCTGTTAGGAAGTATTTCACTATTACTCTTCAGATCTACAGCAGCATTAGGAAATACATTTGTTATTGATCCAAGCTTTTCAGGAGTTATGGCTCTTATTTCTGCCTGCTCTGAGTTTAACTTTTCAGCATTATAGCTAGACTGTGAATTAATATTACTGATACAGATTCCAGGACTAATTTCTGGCACAAAAGAATTAGAATCCTCTACTGTTTCTCTTTGGCTAATAATTTCCTTCAAATTCAATCCCATAGAAAATGGTCCAACTTGTGATTCATCATATGATTTTTGGAAATTGTCTAATTCGGTATCCTCACATAATTTAGTTTCAGAATCCAACAGAAGACTTGTGGCCCAAATAATATCTTTATTACACCTTTCATATAAATCTTTTAAGGCTTCTAATGAAAAAGATCCAAACAGCTTACAAAGGATGTTAAGATTTTCAGATTCATCAGCACTGGTAAGTTCACTTTCTTCAACATACGTGCTTTTATCATACATTACCCTATATGGAATTGTCTCTTGAACATTTGACTTTGTGTTAATATTGAAAGCTTTTGGTTTAAATCCATCTAATCTTCCTATTAATACTTTGATACAATCTGAAACACTGATTTTATTCTTTTCTATTTTCCATAACAGAGCAAAATCCTGTGGTTCAGTCTGGGTACATGTGCCTACTTCTATTCCGGGGACTCCTCTAGGCATTTCCCCTGGAAATTCAGCTAGAATTTCTGGCCCTACCACTCCAGTAATGGTTGCTGTATTACTAGTGAAAGTTAGAGGCAATGTGTGCTGCCCATGAATCATTTTACTTAGATAAGTTTGATTCTCCTGGGTCATTTCACTGGGTATCATGTCAGCACTTTGTAGAGTGGAGCTCCCCAACAATTTTAGTTCTTTAGGGCATGTGCCCCAACAGGCTTGTGTTGTATATAAGGATATTTCATTCATATTATCATTAGTTCCAAATTCTAGGTTGGGTTCACTTAAACCAGCCTTTGGCATTTTTGATCTATGCTCTCTCTGAGCTAAAGAATCAGATGAAGGCCAGTCACCCACAATATTAAATGAGTTTTTGTCAGGATTTTTATAAGTATCATATTTACAGCTATTGAGAAATTCTGAAGAATCATCACACTGCGACTTCCTGCCATCATCTACACTTTCATATGGAGATCCTTGTTGTTGGATATGATCTGTAATCATGGACACACTATTATCTGATACTTTGCGTGACTGAGGGCGACTATACTTTTTGTCACTTTGTATAGATGAAGCTTTTTCAGATTTTCGGTTCCTTTTTGTTCTCTGACCAATAGTCTTATCAACTGGCCAATCACCAACAAAATTCGATAGCTCATGTCTTGGAAACTTTTCTGAAGGTGATTTGCTTTTTTGTTTCCCAAAGGCCTTTTTCTTTATTGTTGTTCTTTCTTCTAATATTTCACCAGGTGAAGATTTTTCATTTTGAAGTGGTCCAGTATTTGCCAGATCGCAGTCTTGATTATTTTCACCAGAGCAAATACTTGGTGATACTCTATCTGCATCAGTTTTAATACACTGTTTTTCAGATGTCATTTCTACTTGCTCTTCTTTTTCTCTCTTGTCTGCTACTTGAACTTTGCTTCCAGAGTCTGAAAGATAGATGTGTGCAGCTTCCTGAATGAACTGACTCTGAGTGTTATGATGTATACCACTTATTTCTTTCCTTCCTTTGCTTATATCTGCATGGGGGAGATATGTAATATTCTCAGGCAACACCGTTTCTTTGGTCACTTCAGGATTCTTTTCTTCAATTAACTCTAGATGCTTCAGTGATGAGGATAAAACATTTTCTTCTTTTTCAGAGGTAATATCTTCATTGTCTCTTGGGCTGTAAGATATTTTTTAAAAGTATTATAAGGAAGTTTCTTAGTGTTGGCATTAATACCATGATTTAAGAAGTATTCGACTGAAAGACAGGGCACTTACCACTTATTCTAAAAAATTCTAAAAATAAACTACATTAAAATTATAAAAGCCATGCTAGGGATATAGTTCAGTGATGAAGTGCTTGCCTAGCATACAGCAATTCCTGCATTTAATCCCCTGTGTAACACCAAAAAAAAATTTTTTTTCTTTAAAACAAAAGCTAATGTTGATCTTCCCTAATATACTATGAACACATTCATTTGTTGTAGCCTCAAACACTTAGCTAGCATGAGGCTTAACACATCTGAAGCAAATTCTTTGAACTGTAAAGGTATTCATTATGCACTAAATATTAAAGTCAAGGATGTAAATTTGTTCCCAGGAGAGCATACCACCTCCCCAGCTTCTTTCAAACCTATTTAAACTTAGCATATGTAAAACTAGGTCTACCTCTATATCTATATCTGTCATGCATTACTAAAGCAGCTTCATTTACAAAGTCACAAAGAGCCAACCAAGATGATTTACATGATTAAAAGAAATTAGAGAAAGGGGAAGAGATTTCATTTGAGATGGCATCTGTTAAATGTTTTAAAATCATGCTTGATGTTAATTTCAGACTCAGAACACTTTTGCCTAATCTTACACTTTCAACTTCAGTGATTTTTCCTTATTTAATTTGTCCATTTATCCTCCTTTCTTTCTTTATTCTAGGAACCCTCAAAGTCCCAACTCTCCCATGAAGCCTTCCTAAGTGGAATCATACCAGACATTCATTGAACTTTCTATGTGCCAGATTCTATTCTTTACAGTATCCTATGAGGAGACTGTTGTTACTGTCATTTAGTAATAATGAGATAAAGTAGAATTTGTGATCTATCAAAGATTAGAGCTTTGGGATTTGGGCCTAGGAAATATAGCTCAAGTCCATGCTCTTAACCAACCACTTTGCAATACCATTTCTCAATTAAAAATCATTTATGAGTTTTCTCTTCTCCACTCCCAACTCCCTTTTTTGGGGGGGCGGGGGAGTACCAGGGATTGAATTCAAGGGCACTCAACCACCAACCACTGAGCCACATTCCCATCCCTATTTTGTATTTTATTTAAAGACAGGGTCTCACTGAGTTGCTTAGCATCTCGCTGTTGCTGAGGCTGACTTTGATTCTCCTGTCTCAGCTTCCTGTGCTGCTAGGATTACAGGTGTGCACCACAGCGCCTAGCTCCAACTTCCTTTCAACAGAGCCTCTCCATCTTTTATCATCATAAAATAGGCATAATTAAGACCTCTACATATATCTAGGTTCTTCTTTACTCACTTATTTATCAAATATTCATGTACTATAAATACTTAGTAGAATCAGTACTGATATGGTTTGGCTAAGTGTTCCCCAAAGGTCATGAGTTAACCTTAGTTCTCTGAGTGGCACTACTAAGTAATATGGAACATTCAGAGGTGAGAAGGCAAGGTTTTTTTGTTGTTGTTGTTTTTATTTTATTTTTTAACCATACGATTTATTTTTATTTTTTTTTTAGTCATACATGATACCAGAATGTATTTTGACATATAATACATACATGGAATGTACATACATCAATCATATTGTCTATTCTATTCTGCTGCCGAGAAGGTAAGTTTAACGGGATATTTCAAGTACACACCAGAGTATTGTGGGACAGCCCCCGACCCCATCCTTGACTCTTCTTCCTCTTTTGCTTCCTGGCTATAAGGTAATCAGTTTTGCTCCTCCACACAATCCCACCATGATAAACTGCCTCACCCAGGGCAAAAGCAATAGGGCAACCAAGCCAAAAGTAAACCTTTTCTGTTCATTAGATGATTGTCTCACATATTCTGTTATAGTGAAAAGGAAGGTGACTAACACAAGTATATCCTAGATAGTAAACTTCCAAAGGGCTACAACATATATAACTCAGTAAAAGTATATCATGAATAACTAACTTTTATGAGACTAGCTTGAAAGAATATTTTCAGTAAAATATTAGAAAATTAAGATGTGATTTGGATATACATAAAATAACAACAGTGAAGAGATAGGGAAACACTGGAATAGTAGAGCACATTACATAAAGAAGACAGATGTATTCATAGTACAATCACAAATTCACAAAACTCTAAATACAATGAAAAAACTTTTATATTATCTTTCACATGAACTTTCACTTCTCTAACTTAACCTCAGCTAACTCCAGAGGAGACTGTACCTAAACCCTTAAAAATAACAAAAGTCTACCTCATTTTTAAAGTTAATCAGCAGTAATTTTACAAGCTCCAAAAGTAACCGGTTTCAAAAAATATCATGTTTCAAATTGAATTTTTTTACATAAGGCATTTTAACCTACCTGGAACTTCTATCCTCACAAGAATATGCACATAATTCAATACGTTCAATTTTCTCTGGAACTGAAGAACTCATGATTATTGGCACTGAAACAAAACGTTGATAGTGGTCTAACATTCTTGTTATTTTTTCTTTGCTTATCCCATGAATATTACGCCTAAAAATTCCAGGAAAGAAAAGGTGCAAAGGATATTGGTAATTGATTTTTTTTTTTTTAAGAAATACAATGTCTAGGAAAACAATGATACATATACATTTCTCTTTTATTCCTTTTTTTTCCTTCACTACTGGAGATGGAACTCAGGTCCTTGAGCAGACTAGGCAAGAATTCTACCACTGGGCTATTATCCCCATTAATGATACATTTCTAACACATAATCTTAAACTGTTTATTATGATGTAATATATGCTATTTGATTTTAATTTTCATTTTTGTCAGACTTTTTCATAAATTGCCATTTTCTTAATCATCCCATACAATCTTTTCCAAATACCCTTTATCAATTTGTGAAAAAGGAGGTTCCAATAACTTTAAAAGAATTTGTTCTCAAGTCTGCAAAAAATCTCATAAGCATGTGACTGTCATTTCAAGGTATTAACGAACTATTAACTAGCAAGTAACAGACATCACATTATAAAAGTTTCCCCTTGTGCCAGTATGACAGACCAGATGCCCCAAACTGCCCTCCTACTATAATAAAACTAGATCCCAAGTAAATTAAAATGAACATGTTTTATTAAATTTTAAGTTCAAGCAAAGAACAGACTCTGGATATCCAAATATGAAGTTATTTGTGTTTTCACTCATGGTGGCTTATTTCTTCATGTGTTTTTGTTAGTGAGCTCATATTTAGTTGAAACTAAAACATGGAAATCCTTAGCCCTTAAACTAAAGGAGCTTTCATTCATATGGCATCTGGATCTGCATCTGCCCAGGAGGTGAGATGGTTATGCTTTAGTCACTCAAGTGTCTTGTCTTAATGAAAACATGTCAGCTACAACTCTTCTATCCTAGGTTAGAGTCAAGGTTTCAAGTCTGAATCCCAGGGCTAATGTTATTGTTTGCCTCTTGGATGAATCTGGCTTTCATATTTACCTACCTCGATCTTGTCTGGTTTCAGATCACAGAGAAGCAAAGAGATAGAAAATATGAAAGACAGGTTAAGAAACATAGACATAGAGGACAGAGCAAAAAGGTCTAGTACATATCTAATTCAAGTCCCAGGAAGAGAAGAGAGTGTATGGGACAAAATCAACTTAAAGAAAAATGCCGAAAATTTTTCAGAACTGATGAAAGATACCAATCCCCTAATTTCAGGAGCCAAATTCCAAACAAGATAAAAATAAGAAATCCATACTAGAAAACCAGAACCGAAACTGTCATATACCAAAGACAAAGAGATGATATTAAAAAGCATCCAGAATGTTTTTAAAAAAATTTTTAAGGTAGTCATCTACAAAGGAACCAACAATTAGAATGACAGCTAAGTTAACAAAAATAGAAATGAGAAGAGAGTTAAATGTCTTCAAAAACAGAAAATAACTATCAACCTAGAATATACAGCAAAAGTATCTTACAAGAATGAAGACAATAAAAGGATTTTCAAATTAAAATTTAAAAAAAAGAGTTTGACACCAAGCATACCTTCATTGTAAAGAAAATTTTTAAAGAAAAAAAATTCAGGCAGAGGGAAATTCCCAGATGAAAGGTCTACAATGCAAGAAAAAAATGAAGCCCAAAGCAATAACTACATGAATAAGTAAAAACAAATGCTGCCAATATATACTAAACAATGATACCATGTAAGTTGGATGGGAAGTAAGTATCATGGTTACAATGTCTTAAAGTTCTTGTACTTATGAAGAAGAAGGCTAAGAAAATGGTTTTAAAGTTTGTATGATAAAACATATCAAGTAACTATCAAAAGAATAATATAGTGTATATAATCTACAAATTGATAAAGTAAAAAAATGAATACAAAATGTAGATTTAATCAAAAAATTCTAAAATAAAGCATGATAGGAGAAAAAAAACAACTATATAATTTCTTGTGACAGAACAGTCACAGAAAAGGTAAGATAAAGAGAAAGCACAGTGAGACAGTAAGAAGGATGATCAATTACATGAATAACAAAACCACAAAAATAACTAAGTTTATGAGTTAAAAGCCAAGATGGACGGAATAGAATTTTTAAAACCTGACCATAGCAGTTACGAGAGATACATCCAAACATAAAGACATTGAAGGGTTGAAAGCACAAGTATGAAAAAAGAAACACTAAAATACTAAAAGGAAGCTGTCATAGTTCTATTAATATTAGACAAATTAAACTTCACAGCATAATTACTATTAAAAATGAAAGAAAAAAATCACTAGAAAGGTATAAAAGTTTCTTTCATTAGGGTGATATCAAAATCTTAAGCACCTATGAACAAATACTCTCAGTATATATATACAGCAAACTTAGGAAGAAGGATAAAGAGAAACTGACATGTTCAACATAATAGAGGAATATATAACACACCTCTCTCACACTGGGAGATTTCACCATCACTTTCCCAAATACTAATCTATCAGGCAGGAAAAAAAAAATAGCAAGCTATAGGTGATGTTAAGCACCATTAAGTAATAAGCATAATTAATGGATATGCTAACATACTATAACCAGTATACATTCTTATCAAACATGGAATATTTATTAAATAATGACCACTGGGCCATAACACATTTTAAAATATCAAAGAATTAATATGATACAAACCATGTAATCTGATCTCCTATATGTAAATTGAAAATCAATTTTTTAAAAAGGATAACACCTATCCAGAAATTTAAAAACACAGTTCTAAAAACACAAGAATTAGAGAATAAAATTAACCATATGCAATTTAGAAAACAAATAAGAAAAAAGAAAGCATTATATATTAAAATTCTGATACCAGATAAAGTAGCACACAGGGAAATATATGGCATCAAATGCTCCTATCAGAAAATGACTTGTATGTTCAGGTAATGAAGTTTTAAAAATAACAGAAAAAGCAAAGAAAACAGATATTTTTAAAAAGCAAAGAAGGTAGAATAAAGAGAATCAGAAATTAATTAAACATAAAACTACTTACAATAGAAAAGATCAACCAACCCCAAGAGTTGTTTATTTGAAAGGCTAATAAAATAAAATGTAACAAAAAAGAAATCTGATCTCTAGTGAGAATAATCAAGAAAAAAAAGGAAGATCCTTTAAACATACTAGGGTTGAAAGGAGAAACTTAATTGTTAATGCAGCAGAGATGTAATAAAAGTCTTAATAATTTTGGTGTGATGGAAAAATTTTAATTGAACCTTCTCACAAAGAAAACACCAGATCCAGACAGTTTTATAAGTAAATTTTATCAAATGCCTGAACTTAGATAAACTAGAATGAGAAAAAGAGACAATACTTCCCAATTAATTTTGTGGACCTAAAACTATTGATAGCAGCCAAGGCCAGACAAAGAAGGAAAAAATGCAGGTCAATCTCACTCATTTATCCGGATGCAAAAATCCTAAATGGACTACAGAAAACCAAATCCAGTAAAGTATCAAAAAGATAATTAAAAAGAAAAATACAGATATGTGCTACAACATGGATGATCCTTGTAAATATTATGCTAAGTAAAAGATGCCAGACACAAAAGCCTATAGTTGTACAACCATTTATATATGATGTCCAAACAGGAAAATCCATAGAGACAGAAAACAGATTAGTGGTTGTCAAAAGGAGGGGGTAACTGCTAGTAATTGCTAGCAGTTACAGGGTTTCTTTTTGAGGAAATGGAGGAATTAGTAGTAATGGTCATGTAACATTGTGAATAGTAAAGTTATGTTGTCCTTTAGTTGGTATTAAAGTTAGTTAAAACTACCAAGAGAAAACAGCATGACCAAAATTAAGTTAGGCCTATCTCTACAGAAATACAGAGAATAAAGCAAAACACATTGTATGTCCATGTCCTAAGTAACATTTTTACTCATCAAGCAACCAAATAAAAAAGTATTATCCTAAGAGGTGAGAGAGTGAAAATACTTGGATGTGACATTTACTACCTTTTCAATCCTTACCACCCCCTTCAACATTCTAACTCTGCAATATAAGAACCTCCCAGTAGCACACAGTTCAGCTGTGCCAAATCCTAGTCAGTTCTCATTTTAGATATTTATGTTACTATTAAAAGGAAATGAAGTACTACTACATAAAACAATTGAAATTTTTTTGACTATAAACACAATTTTAGAAACAAAAAACCTTTATTAAAAATGGAAAAACCCCATAAACAATACAAAATTTGTTATCAGTTTCTAAGTAGCAAAGCTGAAATCTAGTCAATTTTACTTCATTTATCTTCCATAAGAGAAAAAAAAAATCTACATGGATTTTTCTGTTACTGTCATGAAATGAAATAACAAACATTTTAGGTAGCCTCTAAGTTTTACCTTGCAAGCTCCTTCGGTTTGAATTTCCACCATGTGTCTGGTTCCCGGAAGAGGACCTTATATTTATGTTTTTGAGACTACAAATGAAAAGACAAGAACACTTTAAAACAATTATTTCTATGAAATTATTATATACATTGTTTCTAAACTCATAGCATGTTAAAAAATGAAAGAACCCCAAAGATTATCTGATGGGTATGTTAAACTGATAAAATGCACAATTTATTTGACCCAGCAATTAACTTACAGAAATTTATGTTACTGATAGCCAATATAAGAGAACAAAGATGGATAGATAAACACACACACACACACACACACACACACACACCCCACATACACATATGTTAGGATATCCAGCACTATCATTTGTACTAGTGGAAAATACAAATAACTCAGTGAATATTAACTTGGATTTGGCTAAGTAAATGAAGGTATAACCATAAAATAAAGATATTATGCAGTATTTTCTAAAATTTCACGTTAATAAAAGAAGTCCTTAATATAAATTGCTAAGAAAATTAAGACAAAGAATTTTTCACTTGGTTACAAAAGAATTATTCACACATTTGTATGTGCACAGAAACTTCTAGAAAGAGTGTCAAAATATATAGAGCATTTAACTCTAAGGAAAACTTCAGGCACTGTTTTTTGCAATTTGAATATTTATCATATATGTGCATAACTTTTATAATTTTGAAACTCTTTTAAGTAATAGTTTATAACATTTTCAAAGCGCTAATATAGGTATAGACTAAGAGCCAACCTCTATACTTGTACACAAGATCTAGCCCCTCTTTCCTAACCAAAAATAACTGAGAAGGGCAATTCTCCCTCTTGTGCCATCAATAAATCTTCCTTCCCTCCTTAATCAATCCCATAAGTATATGAAACTCCATCCAGTTATTTCTCCCATTTTACTCTTGTCTCTACTTCCACTGTCAGCTATATCCCTATTTTCCTGCTCCCTTTTGTTTTTAAAAAAAAAAAAAGTCTCAAAATTATTACCATCTTTTCTTTCTCTAATTACTCTATTCTAGCCTCTCTTCAGGCCTTACCAATAGGCATCAAACAAGCAAATAACTTCCACATTGAAAAATGCTATGATTCTCAGTTCTCTCTCACTTGACTCTAAGCCACATCTAACACACTTACTTTATGACACACTCTTCTATTTCATACTCTTATCCGTCTTTTCTATGCTAGCACTTTCTTTTCAGCTAATGATAATCTCCAGTTATACCAGACAAAGACTAACCTTAATGTCACAATTGATTGACTCCTCCTCCTCTATCCCACCAGTACTAGGAATTGAACCTAGGAACTTGCAAATGCTAGGCAAGCTTTCTACCACAAAGTTATATTCCCAGTCCTTTTTGGGTGGAGGACGGGGAAGACAGAATATCACTAAGTGGCCCAAGTTGACCTCAAGATCCACCTCAGCCTCCCAAGTAGCTGGGATTGCAGGTGTGTGTCACATGTTCAGCAGCACTCCTCTTTCTATCATACATCAATCCAATAAAAAATTCAGTTTGCTCTACTTTCAAAACATATCCCCAAATCTATTTTCATTAGTGCATTACAGAGATCCTATAATATTCAGATGTCATTACTCTGTTCAGAGCTCTCTATTATGGACTGAAAGTTTGTCTATCCCCAGAAATCATATGTTGAATCAAAGAACTTGCACAATGTGACAGTATTTAGAGATAGGACCTTTAAAGAGGTAATTAAGGTTAAATAGGGCTAGAAAGGTGTGGCCCTCATCCAACAGGAATATAAGACACCAAAGTGCTCTCTCCCTCCATCATGTGAAAGTACAATGAGAAGATAACCATCTTCAAGTCAGGAAGACAGCCTTTATTAGAAACCAAACTTATAGGAGCTTAATCTAGGACTTCTAACCTTCAAAACTGTGAGAAAATAAATCTCTGTTGTTTAATCTAACTGGTCTATGGTATTTTGTTATGGAAGCCCCAAACTAAAACACCCTACAGATCACTCAAGGTAAAAAAATGCAAAATCCTTATGTGATTGAGTCCTTAATAATCGGCCCTGCCATCACCCCAATATTCATTACATCTCCCAATATCCATACCTTCAATTTTATGACAAGATACCCAAAGTGGTCATTGCTATTTTCTTCCATTCCAAACAGAAAAGCCCAAAAGTCAACCCAGACATGAAACAAGGAAGTAATATAATGTCCTATAATGTGCCTACTCCTATCTCCTCACCTCAGCACCAAATTTCAAACAACTTATTCTACGTCTGGCAATAGGTTGGGTGTCTTATTACCTAAAGGGGTGTCATGTAGCAACACACAAGAGAGAATGTGAATTTTAAAATCTTTTCAACTCTTATATGATCAGGTAAATGTTATATTATTTGGGAGCATTCTGGCTGCCTTACATCAAGCTTCCCAAAGAGAAGCAATATATATGTTTAAAGCAAAGTAATAAGTTGTGGCAGTTGTCAATAAGACTACTTGACTGCTCCCTAGTTATCCTCAACTCATTACTTAGCTACTTTTTGTGAACGAACAGGCAAAGTGGTAACAGATTGTTCTCTCTGCTCTATTCCACTTCCTGACAGCTCTCTTACCACAAAGTGATCCCCTTCTCTACAGTAATTACTGTATCTACTTTTTGAAGAAAATATGAGTGTGGCACTCCATGATAAGGTGGCATCCTTTATATATTTCAAAGTGCAACTGGGAAGAGCCAAGCAATCAATACAGAAAAATAGTTTCTATATTTTCAATTATTATATAAGAACAAAGGAAAAAGAAAAAATTATAAAAGCCTGAGGCCTAAAAAAAAAAAATCAGAAATTCAGCAAGGAGAGAAGCCTTCTCTATTTTCTACATAGGAAAATAAAGTGTTTAAAACCTTGGGTTTTTCCCACTCCTGGGGATTGAACCCAGGGCCTCAGGAATGCTAGGCAAGCATTCTACCACTGAGCTCTACATCCCCAGACCATTTCATTTTAAGATAGAATCATTCAAAGGTTGCCAAGGCTGGCCTCAAACTTGGGATCTTCCTGCCTCAACCTCCCAAGGAGCTGAGATGTCTAAGAAGACAGCAGGAAGCAAAGGAAGCCCTATGGAGAAATCACGTAAGGTCAAGGGAGATAGTATACTCCTATGATAAACATATTAGCCCAGAAATTAGAACTCCTGGGGTCCAAAAGTAAACCAAATTTCAGCTCCCAGTACCCTAAAATCAAATCTGTTTCCTCTACTGCCCCTACACAGAAAAAAAAAAAATCTCATTTGCTTTCAAAAGACACAACAATTTTCTTCAGAAGGGTAAAGAATCATACCTTCAAAATAGTACAAGTGCACTAGGTACAGCAAAGGAGACAAACAGAGTCTGGATGTGTTAAGAATATAAAAGAGGAAACACAACACTCATTCACTACAGTAGAAATTGCATGTGCTAATGATGGAGAAATAAACCAAAAAATTATCCCACATTCACAAAAGCTTCATTTATGGATTTACTCAATTAATACATAATTAATATATGCCAAGTATAGTGAGTGCTATGCCCTAAAGATCCAATGACAAATAAAACAATGGTTCTACCCATGAGAATAAATTGATGGCTTAAAGCCAAATCCAGCACAAAAGCCAATATTTGTACAGCTTGGAAACTCAGAATAGTTCTTTACATCCTTAAAGGAAAAAGGAGTAGAAAGGACAAGAGAGGAAGAAACAGAGATTATTTATGGCCCTCAAAACCTAAAATATTTACTGTTACTTTATAGAAAAAGTTAGTCTGATCCATGGCCTACTGATAAAAACTGTATGCTTCATGTTACAAAAGAAGTCTCAACATACTTTATATACAACCAAAAATATGAAAAATTGTGCTATATACATATAATAAGAATTGTAATGCATTCTGCTGTCATGTTTTTTAAATCAATTAAAAAAGAAGTAAGTCAAGGTACTATGGGAGTAGAAAAAGTATCTAACTGGCTTTTAACAAGTTAATGACAGCTACAGAAGAGATGACCCCAAAGATGGGCAAAAAAGAACAAGTAAATGTAAACCAGGCAAATGAGGTAGGAAGGTGACGTAGGTGTGCTTCAGGCAAAGGAAGAAGGGCTAGGTATTAAGGAGAATTTGGCAAATTTGGCAAATAGATAATAAAGTTTATAGAATTCTGAATTTCTCAGAATAGCTAAAAAAGTTAGTTTTTGGTTAATTTGTAATTTAATAAACATGATCTTTTCATAAAATATATCAAAACAAAAAAACAATCTCAGAAATTAACATCTGAATTACAGAATTTAAAAATTAAATAAATTTACTAGCTTATGGAAAAACCCAGCTGAATTGATTGTGCTATTTTTCTTATTTTACCAATAACCAGAAAACTCAGTTAGAGAAAGAACAACCTGAGATTCTCAAGGGCTTGAGATTTACTTGGGTAATTAATATCCTCCAATGTTTCCAAACACACTATTTTAAACTTAAGAAAACTTATGGTACAAACCAAAGCAACATATGGCTTCATTTCCCAGGCCTGTAGGTTTGTATTGTCTATTATTATTGGTGATATCTTCTTCTCAAATGCTTCTTTAGCTGAAAAATACAATAGAAAATGACAAATCACCTTTAATAATATTAAGTATTATCTTGATTTTTAAAAAATCTGATCTTGTTTACATAATTTGAAAACCATAGACATAACCTAATTTTACTCACTACTTGACTTCTAAATACCACTTTTGAGGACATGCAAAGCTAAAGTACAGGTCAACGTTGAATAATAAATACTGAAGCTATGTAATCAGAAAAAATTATATTATGCAAAAAAACACATGGACTGGACACAGTGGCGCACATCCATGATCCCAGCAGCTCGGGAGGCTGAGGCAGGAGGATTGAAAGTTCAAAAAAAGACAGCATCAGCAACTTAGCAAGGCCCTAAGCCACTTAACAAGATCCTGTCTAAAATAAAAAATAGAAAGGGCTGGAAATATGACTCAGTGGTTAAACGCCCCTGGGTTCAATCTATGGTACCAAAATAAATAAATAAATAGATAAAAACTACATGGTAGGCTATATTAGATTTGGGAACAAAAAAGGACTTTAGTGGAAATGTTAAAATCCAAATAAAGTCTGGAGTTTAATTAATAGTAATGTACCAATATTAATTTGTTTTGATGAATATACCATAGTTACATATAAGATGTTAACATCAAGCAGAAATGGTTGAAGGATATATAGAAGCTCTCTACTAACCTTCCAACTTTTTGATAAATCTAAAATTATTCTAAAACAAACCAAAAAAATCATGTATGTCTCTAAAAAGTACCAAAAAACCCATAAATATGGGCTGGGGTTGTGGCTTAGTGGTAGAGTGTTCACCTAGCACGCGTGAGGCACTGGGTTCAATCCTCCGTACCACAAATAAAGATATTGTGTCAAAAGAATAAAATCATGGCATTTGCAGGTAAATGGATGATGGTGGAGAAGATAATGCTAAGCGAAGTTAGCCAATCCTCCAAAAACAAATGCCTAATGTTTTCTCTGATATAAGGAGGCTGACTCATAGTGGGGTAGTGAGGGGGAGCATGGGAGGATTAGATGAATTCTAGATAGGGAAGAGGGGTGGGAGGGAAAAGGAGGGGGCAGGGGACTAGCAAGGGTGGTGGAATGTGATGGACATCATTATCCAAAGTACATGTATGATTGGGTGTCAACATACTTTATATATAAACAGATAAGAAAAATTGTGGTATATATGTGTAATAAGAATTATAATGCAGAAAAAAAAGTGCATGTATAAAGGCATGAATTGGTGTGAACATACTCTATATGTGTAATAAGAACTGTAATGCATTCCACTGTCTTGTATTTAAAAAAATAAATAAAATCAATAAAACTAAAAAAGATATTGTGTCAACCTAAAACTAAAAAATAAATATTTTTTAAACCCCATAAATACATATAAAATATGTAATGATTTGAAATAAAGAAAACATTATGATATACTATTAGGGGGGGTTGTTTACTGAGGATTGAACCAAAGGATGCTTAACAACTGAGCTACATTCCCAGCACTTTTTATTTTTTATTTTGAGACAGGATCGCACAAAGTTGCTTAGGGCCATGCTACATTGCTGGGATTGGCTTTGAACTTGCAATGCTCTGGGATCACAGGCATGTGCCACCACGCCTAGCTATCACATACTATTGTAAAGGATTTTTTTATGAAACTAACTTTTTTCTCAAAGAATTAGACCATTCAGGAAATTAACACTGCACCACAACAAGAAAGTCTACAAGAAAATTATTTGTAAATTTTAAATGTTCTGCCAAGTCTCTTACAATTCAATAATGAAAAGACAAATACAAATACTTTAAAATGGGCAAAGGCTATTAACAGACATTTCTCCAATCAAAACTACAAATGGCCAATAAATACACAAAAGGATGTTCAACATCTTTAGCCACCAGGGAAATGAAAATCAAACCACAATGAAATACCTTCACAATCACCAAAGTAACTATCATCAAAAAAACAGATAATAACTATCATCAAAAAAACAGATAATAGGACTGGGGCTGTAGCTCAGTGGCAGAGCACTTGCCTAGCATGCGTGAGGCACTGGGTTCGTTCCTTAGCACCACATAAAAAAATAAACAAATAAAATAAAGGCATTCTGTCCATCTAAAACTACAAAAAAAATTTTTTTTAAAGACAAATAATCATTGTTAGTGAGGATATGGAGAGGTTGAAAACTATTAGTGGCAATGGAAATGAAACAGCTACTTTGGAAAACAGGCTAGAAATTCCTAAAAAGATTTGACACAGACATGCATGTTTACAACAGCATTATTAATATAGCCAAAAGGAAGCAACAAACAAATGTCCATCAATTGACAAAATGATGAATAAAATGTGACATATTCATATAATGGAAACTTAACTATAAAGAATGAAGTACTAAAAAAAAAAGTATTAACACGTGCTACAGTGTAGATGAATCTTGAAAACATTATGCTAACTAAAAGAAGCCAATCACAAAAGACCACATATTACATGACTCAATTTATGTGAAATATTCAGAACAGGCAAATCTATCAAGATAGAAAATAAATGGAAGGCTTGGAGTTGTGGCTCATTGGTAGAGTGCTTACCTAGCACCTGTGAGGGGCACTAGGTTCCATCCTCAGCACCACATAAAAATAAATAAATAAAACAAAGTAAAAAAAAAAAAGAACGTTGGTGTTCAAGAATGAGACACACTTTAAAAAAAAAAAAGGTAAACAGAAAAAATAAGGAATGACTGCTAATGGGTACAGAATCTTTTTGAGGTAATAAATATGCTCTAAAATTGATTGTGGTAATGGGTACACAACTTTGAATATTAAATTCTACTAAAAACAATTAAATTGTCCATGTTATGGTTTGGATGTGAGGTGTTGCCCAAAAGCTCATGTGTGAGACAATGCAAGAATATTCAAAGGAGAAACGATTGGGTTGTGAGAGTATTAACCCAATCAGTGAATTAATCCCCACAGGATTACCACCGAGTGGTAACTGAAGTGGTAGGGTATAGCTAGAGGAGGTAGGAATTGGAAGTGTGGCTTTGGGGTATATATTTGTATCTGGCAAGTGAAGACCTCTCTCTGCTTCCTGATCTTTAGCCACCAGGGAAATGAAAATCAAACCACAATGAAACCTCATGTGAGCTGCTTCCCTCTGCCACACTCTTCCACCATGATGTTCTGCCTCACCTGGAGTCCCAAAGAATAGAGTCTAATGTCTATGGATTAAGACCACTGAAACCATGAGCCCCCAAGTAAACTTTTCCTCCTCTACAATTGTGCTGATCAGGTCTTTTAGTTGCAGCAGCGAAAAAGCTAACTAAAACAGTCCAATTTAAATGAGTGAAAAAAAAAATAAAAAATAAAAAATAAAAAAAATAAATGAGTGAATTGTAAGACCCATAGATTTTTATCCCAATAAAGTTGCTTAAAAGAATTTGGGGGCCGGGGCTGTAGCTCAGTGGTAGAGTGCTTGCCTAGCACGCATGAGGCAATGGGTTTGATCCTCAGCACCATATAAAAATAAATAAATAAAATAAAGGTATTGTGTCCACTTACAACTAAAAAATATTAAAAGAATTTGGGTAGCTGGATGCAGTGGCACACACCTGTAATCCCAGGGGCTCAGGAGGCCAAGACAGAAGGATCATGAGTTCAAAGCCAGCCTCAGCAAAAGAGAGGCACTAAGCAACTCAGTGAGACCCTGTCTCTAAATAAAATACAAAATAGAGCTGGGGATGTGGCTAAGTGGCCAAGTCCTCCTGAATTCAATCCCTGGTATTCCCCCACCAAAAAAAGAATTTAGCCTGTGTTATAAATGTGTTATTTCATCATCTTCATCATCATCATTATTGCTGTGGTTGTTGCTGTAATAAGGCTATGTTGACCCAGTAACATCCTCTTTTATAGACAAAGATACTAGGCCTTGGAGTAAATAAATAATTTGTACAAGGTTACACAGCTAGTAACTGGCAAATCCAGACTTGATTCCCAGTACATTATACTGCCTCTTTTACTTTTAGCTGTGTTCATAATTTCATATTCCTGAGTTCTCACTTTAATTTTTAGCTCAAGAAAGAATATGTAAAAACTTCACAATGCCCAAGGATGCCAAACTCAAGTATCGCCTTCATAGTGCATTTATTATAAAAGAAAAACTAACTAAAATACCATCTGCATGTTTTAATAGAAATTCCCACACATAATTCAAATTATGCAAGTCATTAAACATTTAATAATAAAGTCACCTTCAGTGAATTGGCTGCTGTACTAAAAAGGAAACTAAAGTTTCACCTATGATCATCTTTTAGATTGTTTGAAGAGAGCCATTTTTAGACTACCTTCTATAAAAATTAAACCACTATAGGGAAGATCAATGGTTACAAGGCAAATTCCATTCTAGAAAACAAGAACCAGGGGCTGGGGATATGGCTCAAGTGGTAGCGCGCTGGCCTGGTATGTGCAAGGCACTGGGTTTGATCCTCAGCACCACATAAAAATAAATAAAGATATTGTGTCCACCTAAAACAAACAAAAAAGAAAACAGGAACCAAAGCATACCAGATACTGTAACCTCCTTGAGCAACTGAGATTCAAGCAGAAAAGTAGATTTACTTCTGACAAGATCCCTATGGATTAAATACAACTTAAATGTGCCATACAATATTTCAAGCATTTATGAAAGGTATTTTAATCCTGTGAAATAAAACTGTCTTGTTTAACTCTTACTACATACTATGTTTTTGATATGCGATGTCTGCCCAAAAGCTCCTATTAATTCAGGAATGTTCAGAGGTAAAATGCTTGCCTTATGAGATCTGTGACCTAATCAGTCCATCCTAGTTTAAATGGAATGACTACATGGTAACTGTAGCAGATGGGGCATGGCTGGAGGAGGTGGGTCACTGGAGGCATGTCCTGGAAGGGTTATTCTTCCTGTGAACCTCCCTCATCCCATTTCCTGTCCCCCGCCATGATGAGCAACTTTCCTCCACTGGGCCTTCCCCACAATGTGTTGCCTCCTCTTGGCCCAGAGCAATGGAGTTGACCATCTATGGACTGGGACTGAGACTTTTAAAACCATGAGACCCAAATAAACATTTCCTCCACTAAGTTGTTCTTGTCAGGTGTATTAGTCACAATGACCAAAAAAGTTAATAAAGCAATATGTAACATAAGCATGTTAATATAATACTATATATATTATATAGTTACAAAATTAAAGTTCACTATAAATTCTTTAAAGTTTTTCAAAATACAAACACTAAGTGAATTTTCTTTTTCTATTACTCTTAATATTACCCAGAATCTGATGTCTATTCTTACCACGATTCTGGTTCCATTCATGTGCTTCTCCTAAGTACTTTACATCGAACTGGTACTGTCCATTTATATAAAAATAATCATCAGTACTAAGAATGACTCCACTTGGATTATCCTCTTGCAAAGTCCTGTGAATGACAAAGGGAGTTATTTTCATTAATTTTCCTTCCAAAATTACAGTCATAATTCAAATAAAAAATTTAACAACTCAATTTACAAGAGTGAAAACATCGTAATATTCAAAGAAATCATACCAAAATCCTCTAAGCATAAGTTTGATTCCCAATAAAACTGGCCTAAGGCAGTTTGCTTATGTAATTTTCAGAAATATTTTTGTTATAAAAACTATTATAATTAACTATAAATGTCTGAAGATTAGTACGTTTTTAATTACCAAGAATATCTGACAACTAAAAATGCTTCAGAGCTCAGTCACAAGCATTCCCCTTGTCTGATCACTTGATACACAATTATCTATTTCACCCACCTTAAGAAGGTCATTTCAAAGCAGGCAAGTACTAAGATAGAACTAATATTTAAAAGTAGATGAAGATGGCCAGGCATGGGGGCACTTGCCTATAATCCCACTTACTTGGGAGGCTGAGGCAGGAGGATCACAAATTCAAACTGTCTCAAAAATAAAAAATAAAAAGGACTGGGATGTAGCTCAGTGGTAGAGCATCTCTGGGTTCAATACTCAATAAGAAAGAGGAGGAGAAGGATGAAGAGGAGGAAAAATAGATACAGCTCTCTGCATATTGCTATTAAACAAGTATACCCAAAACATCCAAAATATCATGTTAATAGATTATCAATTTAATCTGTTAAGCAAAATTATACAAACTTAAGATAGCTTTGTGGGTAGGTTTTTTATTCCTAACACCTCTTCTAATTCTGGAATTTACCTGCTATATATTTGAGACACACACAAAAAAGAAACAAAAATTGTAGCCACACTTTGAAAACCCTTTCAATCATTTCCCAGTTCCTCTCCTTCCCTTAACTCATTATCAAAACTTCTAAATCCATCTTCCACCTTCATGGGACAACAAAATTGCTTGAGAGTTTTTGTTTGTTTGTTTGTTTTGGTACTAGGGATTGAACCCAGTGGCGTATAACCACTGAGCCATATCCCCAACCCTTTTTTATATTTTATTTAGACAGGGTCTCACTAAATTATTTAAAGCCTCACTAAGTTGCTGAGGCTGGCTTTGAACTTGCGATCCTCCTGTCTCAGCCTCCCAAACTGCTGGGATTACAGGCGTGCACCACCACACCCCACAAAATTGTTTAACTTATCCCTTCATAACCCTCTTTCCAGTAAATTTGAAAGCCCTGTTTTTCCCCTTATTTTTCTTGAGCTCACATACTAGTTTAATGCCGTGGACCACTGTCTCTGAAAAAAACTCAGCTTCTATGTCTCCACACTATCCTACTTATTTCTCTCTTCATTCAAAAAATAATATTCCTACATTGGGACAAGCACTTTTTTCTCTTCCCATTCTCAAAGTAGAGCTGCCTCTGATTTTAAAGCCTCTGAAATCTAGTTCTACAATCCTGTCTCACAGCTCTATACCTTTTAAAATATGGTCCGTCATTCTAATTTCTTTCTCAAAATACAATGCTGTGACTTTCTGCAATATATGCATTATTAAATTGTTTTAATTTTGTTAGGTCAATGAGAACAGTCCATGATTTATCTACAGAAGAATACATTTGTAAATGCATGAATAAAATATGTGAAAATTAGGGTCAGGGTTGTAGCTCAGTGGTAGAGCGCTCGCCTAGCACGTGTGAGGCACTGGGTTCCATCCTCAGCACCACATAAATATGAATACATAAAATAAAAGGTATTGTTGTCCACCTACAACTAAAAAAAAATATTTTTAAAAAATGTGAAAACGACTGAAGTCTAGACAAGTAAAAGCTATCAAAAAACAAGTGAATGGGCTGAGGGCCTGTACAACCTCCTGCCTTTAGATGTTGCAGGCCCGCTCTGTGCCCTCAGCCCGGCGAACACCCACCAAGCTCTAAAGGGAAAAACCTTCTCACTAACCATGGGATGACCTCAAAGCATCATCCCCCTCAGCAACCCTAAGTTGACAGAGGGAAAATGTCACAGCACTGCAACCATTTTCTCTTTCTCTTTCAACATTCATTCTTTTGTACTCAGGATACAAAAAAAAAAAACCTGGTTTGTGCCACTCCCTTCAAAAAGCTCTGTAAACTTTGGGACATGGCATATTATTTGATTCTTAGCCTTAGTGACCTCTCCAGGCACCAAAACTGAAACCCGGCCCATTTTAATGTTCTGTTACAACAGTAATTAATACTGTCACTCTTTTTTATTCCTTTCCAACTCAAACTTCAGGTTTTGTTAATTTTCACTCTTCCAAGGTTTATATAGCTTATATTTGCCTGTAATTATAGTTCCCACAATAAAAGAAACATTTTTTACTTCAAAAGAAAAACAACTGAGGGCTGGGATTGTGGCTCAGCGGTAGAGCGGTCACCTAGCACGGGCAGGACCCGGGTTCGATCCTCAGCACCACATAAAAATAAAAGCATTGTGTTGTGTCCATCTACACCTAAAAAATAAATATTTAAAAAATAAAAAAAGAAAAATAACTGAAATGAGCTAATAAAACACATTCCACAGATAACTATGCATACTCACTAAGACTAAATGTACCCAGGACCAAACAGAAAAGACCCTCCCAAGAAAAGAGGGTAAACAATGAAAAACTTGGAAAGAAAAAAAGTATAGGCAAATAAAATGTTAGGAATAAATCTCTTGTCATTTAAAAGCTAAGGGAAGAGAAAAGGAACTAAGAAAATAGTACTTTTTTTTGGTACCAGGGATTGAACTGAGCGGTGCTTAACTACTGAGCCACATCCCCAGCCCATTTTATTTTTTATTTTGAGACAGGGTCTCAATGAATTGCTAAGGGCCTTGCAATCCTCCTGCCTCAGCCTCCTAAGTCAATTATAGGCACGCACCATTGTATTCAGAGAAAACAGTACTCTTGAAGGAGTGCCACTGGAACCATAAAAGGCTACTTCTAACACTGACTCTGGTCACCCAGGCCAAGGCACACACCACCTAACTTAACTACAAAATGAACAAAAATGGATATGAGAAAATAGTTGAGAGTACTGTTTTGCAATAAATAAATCACAGAAAATTTGAAGTTCTTTTACTACCATTGTTCATCCCTTATGCTCTACCTTGAAATCACACATTTCTAAAAATATAATTTAACAACATACTAGAATCTCAGACTCCCTACTACCAGTAGAATTCATGTATTTAAGACTTCCTTTCCATGAATGCAAAATTAATTATAGTTGTTTAACTCCATGATCAAAGTTGAACTCATCTTTCTCCCACTCAAATTAACTCTCCTCCACACAAAGTTATTCCTGTTGATTTCACAAGGTCAAAATATTGGAACCAGGGCTGGGTTGTGGCTCAGTGGTAGAGCACTTGCCTAGAACACGTGAGGCACTGGGGTTCGATCCTCAGCACCACATAAAAATAAATAAATAAAAAGTTATTAAAAAATATATTGTAACCATCTTAATTTTTTCTTCTATTCTCTCAAAGGTATTCTGAGAGGAAATTTTCCAATAAAAATTTCTAGAGAAAAAAAGTGTTATTAGCTACAAAGTTCAAAAAAAACAAGTGGAAAAAAAAAAAAATACCTTAGGAGTTACTAAACATCTCCATCAAGCAAAGCATTTTGCATATTCAGATTATCTGTTCAGAATCATGCATAATACTTCTTAGAATTCAATTGAAACCTCGTACCTCGCCAAAAAAGATTTTCCTGATCCCGGAAGGCCTCTGAGAAGAACAAGAACTAGTCCAACATATGATGTTGTCTTCTTTCTTACAACTTGAGAAACCGGAGTTTCTTGTACTTGATAAGCACTTGTTCCCTCTTTGTTTCTCCATACCTTTGTTGGGGAAGTGTGAGAAATGATCGAGGGTGGAAATGTGTAGTTAACGGGTCTCCAGTGTGCAGCTGTGGTTACAACAGGAGCCACAAACCCATGGCTTCCTTGAAAGAGGTCAAAAGCAGGAATCATTGGATTCCACATTGGTGGAGGTGGAGGAGGAGGAAGCAGTAAAGGGAGAGGGGTAAGTACTGGGCAGTAATTCATATCCTTCCCCTTTGGTGGTAGTTCAGTATGTTTGTGTGGCTTGAAATTGAACCCTTCAGAAGGTACAAAAATATCAGAGACAGAAGTAGACCTCTGATTCCCACCAGTATCTGGCAAATCACACCCTGAATTTTGCACAGGAAGGTTTAAAGAAGCTTGAGGTTCATTAGCATCCAAATTTACAGACGCTTCGGAAAGTTGAGCCTCAACACGCTCAGATTCTAAAAACTCGCTCTGTCTCTGATTGAGATTGCTACAACCCATGATAGAGTCATTTGTTGGATTTAAAGAACTACTGAGATGAGAATCTTCTTGGTAATCATCTTCCAAAACCAAAGTGTTATCCTTTATAAAACTTCTGGACCCATTCAAAACTGAATGTGAAGTTAATGGGTTTGAACTTACTGTAGAGACAGAATTTTCTAAATTCTCACTGTTGGAATCCATATTTTGCATAGAATGGACAGGAGTCGTACTACTTGAATGTGAATTTATAAACTTACTTGGGTCATTAAAACTATTAACATCTTGCAAAGGCAAAAATGAGTATACTTGGTCATCAGGAGAAGAGTTCAATTTCTCAAAAGCATTCTGTATTAAGGAATCCAAGTCTTCAGTCAGCTGCATATCCAGAAATGAATCCATCTTCGAATCTTCACTCTCTTCTTCAAGAGGACACTTCTCCATTATTTCACTTCCTGTTTCAACTGGCTGGTTCTCAGAAGCAACAAAGTTTTCTGCAGATGATCCTTCTATCTTGGCATCAGAGGCAGACAATTCTAATAGACAATCCATGGCATTTTCAACTGTACAACAAGAACAACAACAATAACAACAAAAAAATACATATAGATGTTGAAAAAGTAAGACATGACTTTATTAAAATCCAAGGAAAATACTGGATTTTGCCTTGAAAGGAATATAGAGAAATTTATATATATATTCAAGTCATCTTTTAGAAATTAATTTTTTACTAATATAACAAAGACTGCATTACTGAAGAAGTTTTAATAATGGAGACGTGCAATGCTGTTCTTTCAGACAAATAATAAACTATCATCCAGTATATAGTCTTCAATTAAGTTGTTGAGTAAAAGTATAAATATGTGGAATAGTATGTATTAGGGTTATTTATAAAGGTCCTAAATTCAGTTGATTTATTCAACAATTACCTATTGCATGTTATTTTAAGTATTGCATATTTAAGTACATATTCTAGTAAGTCTAATTTATAAAGACCATACTACAAATTTCACTTACTACAAAAAAAATTTTATGATCATGTACTACATATCAGAAATACTTTTTAAAAAAACAAATAAGAGTCTTTACTACTTCAAAGGATTTTGCAGTTTAATGGAGATTGAGGACAATTACATTAGAAAATAATTATATCATACTATAAATTAAATAATGCATCGTTTTGAGAGTGTACAAATGCCACAGCAGTGTTCAGGAAAGTAAGGAAAGATTTTACATAAAGGGATATGTAAACTGGCACTTGACGATTAAAAAGCAGTTTGCAAAATGGGAGGAAAAGGTAAGCCAAGGTTGAAAATACAAAGCATGTTTAAAGTATTGAGAGAAGTTGGTTGGAGAGAGTGAGTACTCAGCAATATGTATGGTGGAAAAGAAAAGAAGATAAAACTGCAAAGGGAGATGGGATAAAATTGAGAAGGGTCTTATATGGCATGCTAAGAAATATTAATTTTATTTTTTAAGGGAACTTGAAAAGAAACTGATAGTCATAGCATTTGGGCTAGAAGTTTTATACAAATCACCTCACTGAATCCTCGAAGAATACTATGAGGTATCTATGGAAATAGATGAAGACAATGAAGCTCAAAAAAGTATACCAACTCGGCTCAAGTCACACAGATAGTAAGTGACAGAGCCAGGACTGGTGTGTCTGACTCCAATGCTGAGCTCTTTTTGTAATAACAAATGAGCAACCATTAGAATTTTTAAGTATTTAGGAATGGGGATGTAGGTCATGGCAGAACACTTGTTTAGATGCATTAAACTCTGGATTTGATTCCCAGCACCACAAGAAAAACTTTTAAGCATCTAAAATTTGGGGTTTGTTTTTGTTTTGGGGTTTTTTTTGTTTGTTTGTTTTTGTTTTTTCCTTGATTTGTTTTAAAGAAGATTAATGTGGAAATGGCACAGCACAGCAGGTAACAGCTCTGGTCTGGAGTCAGAACACCGGCATTTAAATTCCTACTTGCTGGCTACATCACTTTGAACAAGTAATTAGCTTCCCTAAGCCTCAAGTTTCTCATTTGTAATATTGGGATAATAAAAGTACCTACCTCATAGGTTGTTGTGAGGACTAAATGAGATAATCCATGAAAAAGTGCTGTGCACAAGGACTGGCACCTAGTAAGCACCCAATTAATGTTCCCTTAAGAAGAAAAACAAAGAGGGATTGGAGGGGGCAAACCTGGCAGAAGGATCAATCAGGAAATCACATTAATACTACAAAGGCAAGAAGCCCTAAAAATGGAAAAAAGGGAAAAAAAAAAGAAAGAAAGAAAAAGAAAGCAAATATAAGAGGTATTTCTATGAAAAAAATCTACATGATAGAAAAACCAGAAAAGATCAACTTAAAAAACTAGCATGTATATAACAACAACAACAAAAAAAAGACAGCATTAAGTAAAAAGAAATACAAGACCAACATAGATCATTATCAAACAAAAAGAAAAGTCTTAAACAGAATGTTGGAAAAAATTTAAACTATAGTAGAAAAACAAACAAAAATATGAATGGACAATAAATATAAGAATATAAGAATTAATGAAAAGTCATCTATAAAAATGTTTACTATTTCTCTTTATTAAAAAAACACAAATTAAGGTACAATGTATTACTATTAAAATCTTAAAACAATTCTACATAATGCTGAAGAGGCTGTGGTGAAAGGGCTACACTTATTCAGTGCCAGTGGTATTACAAACCTGCATACCTCATTGGTGGGCAATTTAAGCAGTGTATTTCCAAGGGCCGAAAACTGCTCTTACCCTGTGACTCAGAAAACAAAACTTTGGGACTAAGAAAAAAAAGCCAAAAGAAAGAAAGAGGCTATTTTTACCAAGGTGTTCTTCACAATGTTAATTATTCATGAGAAACTTAGATAAATAAGTTACAGCACAATTCCTCACTGGAGTACTGGAAAACTGCTGAAAATAAACAAAAGGTTGTAGAACACTGAAAAACTGTTTATGTCATATTAAGTTTAAAAAGCAGAATATAAAATGTCATCAATGCTATTATTCAAACTACTGAACATATCAAATGTTTATAACAAGGTCCTCAGAAGATCCTGAAAAAGAGAAATAAGTTATTTGTTAAGATATAGGATAATATAGTTTTCTTATGGTTTCCTGCTCCTATGTTAATGTATATTCAACAAATTTTAAAGACACCAAAATTAGGAAATAAATGTTAAAGTCACTTACAAAACTACACACCATCATTTCTGAGCACCAAGTGTGTTGTAGAAACCTGGTTTTCTGCACACATACCAAAACAGAATAGGTAAAATATGCTCACATCACAGTTCACACAATGACTAAAAATGATAGTATATCATGTATTATCAAAACCTTCAAATCTTCATTTTATACTAATCATGGTCAATAACAATACTAAATATCATCAAGTAATTTATTCATCCAGTCAACTTTATACAGTCCCTCAGTCTGCAAACATACTTCTAAACAATTTATTACAAGTTATTAATAATTTACTAAGACTTCACCAAAAAAAAGAAAAAAAAACTCAGTCCTCAACCAAAAAGTCCTATAAGATATATGCTATTATTTTTTTATTAACAGATTAGAAAACAAAAGACTTAAGAGAGGTCAGCAGAACTGAAATGCAACCCAGGCCTCTTGAGTCCAAAGCCAATGTTCTGAAACAACACTACTTGCCTCAATTCTTATTATTCAGCTCTTATTTCTGTAATTATAAAAAATTACCTAGTCACTCAATAAATATCTGGTAACTTCTATTATGGGTCATTTGCTATTTCAGGGGTTAGGAATATAGAAGAAAAATTAAAAGTTTTTAAAATCTCTGTCTTCATGGAGCTTACATTCTAAGACACTGGCTCTCAACCACATATAATTTTGTCTACCAGGGGACAAATGACAAAATAGGGAAATATTTGTGATTGTCACAACTAGGGGTTGGGGTGCTATCGGCATCTAGTGAGTATAGGCTAGGGATGCTACTAAACACCCTATAATACACAGCAGAACCATTTACAATGAAGAATTATCCAGTCCAAAATGTCAACAGTGCCGACCTGTTCTAAAGGAAAGATAAAAAAATAAAATGAAGAATTATATCTATACATGCATCTTACATCTAGAACTGTGCATTTCTTAAGAGGAGAAATTTTGCTTTATTCTTCTTCATATTCCTCACAATACCAAACATAGTACCTTGCCCATGGCAGGTGCTTAGAAAATGATGAACAAAAGGGAAATAGGACAGTTACTTTACTATATTACTACCGATCATGGCATATATATGAAGTCTTCTTATAAGACGCAAAGGGTTCAAACTGAACTTTTTCTCACCTTTGAAATCACATTCAGAAAGCATCAAATACACTACATCAGGATCCAGATCAGAAAACATCTCTGAGATACTGGTGAAGAGTTCTTCCTGATCAGTGTTTGTCTCACACACGGAAGGAAGGGTAGTGGTTGACTCCTCATGACTAGCAAGACTGGATACGACAACTTCCTTAGAGTTTGCAGTCTTCTGAATAGGATTTCCCCCAAGATTTTTCCTTTTCCTTGGCATTCTGACTTCCAAAACTAAAATTTTTCCCTTTTTTAAAAAAATTTAAGATGTTTGATATTAAATCATAATTCAAAGAAAATAGCGTTAAAAATCTTGCACAATCCAGTGGTAATAGGACCTAAAATAGAAAGCAAGTAAAAACACTCAGGCTATGTAGTTACATTTCTAAAACTGGAATGACATTATTATTTATTCTAAGAAAGTACCATCGACTCTGGCAGCAAAGCCAAAAAATAGTCGAACAATTTCTCTGTCCAAAATATTCCAGTTTTTCCAGAATTGAACATGTTAAATAAAAATTAAGATATTAACAAACGTAATGTATTTCAGAACAGTGAATACACTGTGTGAAACACAGTGACTACACTGTTTTAATACCATTATTTCATTTTAAACACATAAAACAGCATCCATAAATACAATTATGATGCCTATTGAAACTACACTCAGATGTCAAATAGGCATCATAAACATGTCCAAAACTGAGTTCCTAATCAAACCCTTTGAACCTGTTCTTCCCAGTCTTTCCCATCTCTGTTAATGTAACTCTATCCTTCTCATGTCATAAATCTTGGAATCATCTTTGACTCTTCTCATCCCACATCCAACTGGTAAGCCAATTTTGCCAGATACAACCCACAAAATGTATCCAGGATGTGATCATTCTTTACCATCTCCACTGCTACCACCCTAGATTCAGCTATCTCAGACTCTCCCCTGGATTAATCAGACAAATCAATCTCCCTGCTTCCACTCTTGTCCCTTCAGTCTACTTAGCACAGCAGGCAGAGTGGCTCAATTAAACCCTAGGCTGGATCATACCCCTTTTCTCCTATACTATCCACCAGCCTCCTGTCTCAAGATGAAAGCAAAAGCCCTTAAAATGGCCTTAACCCAGACACTTGTTACCTCTGTACTGTCATCTCCAGATCCTCCTTCCCTTGCTCATGCAATTCCAGACACACTTAGCATCCTTGCTTTTCTTCAAACACATCAGCCATGCTCCCAAACAGGAACATTTACACCTTGGTTCCTAATATCTGAACTACTTTTTACCCCAGGTACTTTTAAGATATATTTCCTCACCACCTTCTTATCATTACTCAAATGTTACCACCTCAGAAACTCAAGTCCTCTAATTCCTTCCTCTTGTTGATTTTTTTTGCCTAAGACTTATCTTCTAACATGGCATATGTTCTATTAATACTGTGTTTACTATCCACAATCCAGTAAAGTGTAAGCTCCACAGGGCAGTGACTCATGTATTGGGAATAAAACTACAAAGAATTTACTTGTTTTCTCTGCTTGGATGTAGTCAATAAACACTTCAGATTTAACATATTTTCCCCAAAATCCACTCTAACTATCTGGTCTAACTACCATCATCTACCATTTTTGTCTCCTAACTAGTTAGGACTCTTGTCCTAACTGGTTAGCACCCTTGTCCCCTAAAGTCTATTTTCAACATACCTGCCAGAATGATCTTTAGACAACCTAAGTCTAATTGAATCAGGATCTGTTTTAAATTCAAGTTGTTCTCCATGTCACTTGGAGTAAAAGCTAAAGTTCTTTCAATGGCTTACCTCCCTGCTGACTCTTAATTTACTCTTCCCCAGACATTTGCATTACTAACTCCCATACTTCCTTCAAGTCTCTGTTCTAGTATCATATTCAATGATTTTTTTCTAATTGTCCAATTGAAAATCAAATACCCCACTCCCTCTGCCCCAATCTCCTCCCTTCCTGCTGACCACCCATTGCCCTTGTCACCTTCTAACATACTATAAAATTTACCTTTTAATTAAATTTGTGTCATAGGCTCTCCACCTTCCAGAATTGCACTGTCAATATGGCAGCCACCAGCCACATGTGCCTATTTAAATTTAAATTAATTAAAATTAAATAAAATTACACTTTTATATCTTAGATATAAGTAGAATGCAAAGAAATTACCAGAGACAGAAAAAAGAGTAGGTAAATAATGATAAAGGATCAATCCACCAGGAAGACATAGCAAGCCTAAATGTCCACATACTTAATAAGAGAGCTACCAAACAGATAAAGAAAAAAACTGATAGAACTGGAAAAAAAAAAAAAAAAAAAGACAAATTCACTGATTCAATACTGCTCCAGTAACAATTTACACAATTAGACAGAAAATCCCAAAGATACAGAATTCAACAATACCAACAATTAAGAAATCTAATCAACATTTCTAGAACATTCCACCCAACAACAGCAGAATATGAATTCTTTTCAAATGCCCACAGAACAACTACCAAGGCAAACCATAACTAAGCTACATAATAAATCTTACCAAATTTAAAAGAACTGAAAACATACAATTTGTTCTCCACAAAGAATCAAACTAGAAGTCAACAAGTCAAAGGACAACAGAAAAATCTCCAATTTGGAAACTAATATTCTTCTAAATAATCCATGGATCAAAGATGAGGTGTAAAGAAAAAATTTTAAATACACTGAACTGAATGAAAATGAAAATATATTATATTGAAATTTGCAGCACACAGCTAAAGCAGTGATGAAGGGAAATGTATAGTGCTAAATGCATACGTTGGAAAAGAAGAAACACCTCAAATCAACAGATATGCCCCCATCACAAGAACCTAGAAAAAATAGAAGGAAATGAAAAGATAGCAACGAAAACAAGAGAACAACAGAGAAAATCAAATTTTAGAAGTACAAACTAGTTAATTAAAATAAATACAATCCACAACCCTCTAGCTAAAAGAGAGAAAACACAAATTATCAATATTAGGGTTAAAAATGGAATATCATTACAGACCCTGAAGATATCAGTAGACTAGTAAACTACAAACATTTATACACACAGAAGACCAGTCTACCGTAACACACTCAATAGATAAAAGACTTATGATTTACCAGGCGTGGTGACACATGCCTATAATCCCAGGAGCTCAGGAGGCTGAGGCAGGAGGATCATAAGTTCAAATCCAGCCTCAGTAACTTAGCAAGGCCTTAAGCAATTTAGTGAGACCCTGACTCCTAATAAAAAATAAAAATGGGCTGGGGATATGACTCAGGGGTCAAGCAGTCCTGGTTCAATCCCTGGTACCAAAAAAGAAGGGGGGGAAAAAAACAACCTATAATTTTTAGTTAAATTTAATTCACAATTTTAAAACTAAATACACACACACACACATATCTCAGTATTAAATGAAGAACTCTTAACAAACATTTTTAAGAAAACTCAACGTGATTTCTACACAATTTCTCCTAGGAAATAAGAGGAAGGAACACTTTCAATTCATTTTATGAAGTTAGAACTATCCTGATACCAAAACCAGAGGCTGGGGATGTAACTTGGTGGTACAGCTTGCCCTGCACACCTGAGGTCCTGGGTTTGATCCCCAGCAATATCAAAAAGAAAGAGCCAAAACCAGACAAAGTCAAAAAAATACATACCAACTTCCCTCATAAATGTAGATACAAAATCGTTAAGAAAACATTAGCAAATAAAAGTCAGCAATATGTTTTAAAAAATTATATACCATGAAGTTTATTCCAAAGATGCAAAGCTGGTTCAATATTTAAAAATTAGTGTAATCTACAATATTAACAGGTTAAAGAATAAAAATTAAACTATATCAATCAATATTGGAAAAAGTCTGACAAAAATCAACACTCATTCATAATTTTTAAAAAACCTACCAGAAAAAAAAAAAAAAAACAGAAATAGAGGAGCACTTCCTCAACTTGATAAATAACATCTACAAAAAACCTACAGTTGGCTGGGTGGCCAACCGTAGTAGTATGGTGGCCCATGCCTATAATCCCTGCTATGGTAAACGAGGCAGGAGGATAGCAAGTTCAAGGTGAGACTGAATAACTTAGCAAAACCCTACCTCAAAATAAACTTTTTAAAAAGTTTGGAGATTTAGCTCAGGGGTAAAGGGATTGCCTAGTTTATGCAAGGTCCTGGGTTTGATCCCCAATACCATCATCCACCAAAAAATTTAAAAAAAAAAATAAATTTAAAACCCTAGAGTTAACATTATATCTAGTGATAAAATACTAAATGCTTTCCTCCTAAAAATCAGGAACATAGTAAGAATATTCACTCTTACCACTTTTATTCAATATATTGCTAGAAGTTCTAGCTTGTAAAATAAGGTATAAAAAAAAAAAAAGAAAAGAAGCATATATAGATCAGAAAAGAAGGAATGAATCTGTCCCTAATAAGAGATGATGTGGTCATTGAGGAATCTACAAAATATCCAACAAATAAGTTTAGCAAGGATGCAAGACAAAAAGAAAGAACACAAAAAATACAACAGTTACCTCTCCTAGCAATGTACATGGTTGCAGAATATTCACAGTCACTCCAAAAAACTATGAAATACTTAAGTACAAATCTAACAAAAGAAATGCAGAACTTTTATGCTGAAAATTACAAAACAGGGATGAAAAAAAAAAAACAAAGATCTAAATTCATGGCAAGACAGCATGTTCATGGACTGAAATGCTCAACATGGCAAAGATGTCAATTCTTCCCATATTCATATACAGGTTTAACACAATTTCTATCAAAACTCAAGCAAGACTTTTTTTTTTACAAACAGACAAGATTATTCTAAAATTTATAAGAAAAAGGAACTACAGCTAGAATAATTTTGAAAAAGAAATAGAATGGGAAGGGATCAATCAACCTTATTTCAAGAGTTCATAAACAGCTACAATAATCAAGTCTGTATGGTATCAGCAGAGTAACAAATCTGGGAATAGAATAGAAAACCCCAAAACGGCCAACATATATATGCCCAACTGGTTTTTGATGAAGGTGCAAAAGAAATTCAATGGAAAATACACAGCCTTTTCAATAAATGATACTGGAACAAGCAGACACTTAGAGGCAAAAAATATAAAGTTTAACCTAAGTCTCACACTTTACAGAATAATTAACTCAAAATAGATCACAGATTTAAATGTAAGAAATAGTGGGGTGCTGTGGCGCATGCCTATAATCCCAACTACTGGGAGAATCAGGCAGGAGGATCACAAGTTTGAGGCCAGCCTCAGTAATTTAATGAGATCTTACATCGAAATAAAAAAATAAAAAAGGCTGGGAGACTGTAGCTCAGTGGTAGAGAGCTCTGGATTCAATCCTGAGCACCACAAAAAAAATTAATTAATTAAAAACTGATAATTTGCACTTCAAAATAAAAATTTGCTCCATGAAAAATCCTTTTAAAAAAAGAAAAAAAAAACTCTCGAGAGGATAAAAAGACAAGCTACATACTTGAGAAAGAATATTTACTTATTACATGTATGACAAGGAACTAATATCTAGAATACATAAAGAACTCATGAAAATTTAACAGCCAAAATTAACAATTCAACTAGAAAATCAGTAAAAAGGGAGAAAATGTTATATGAAAGAAGCATACAAATGGCAAATAAGCAAATAAACAACCTTTGATGTCACTGGCCATTAATAAATGCAAATTGAAACTATAATGACATATTACTTACCTATTAGGTTGGCTAAAATAAAACAAATTGACAACATCAAATAATGGCTAAGCTTCAGAGACACTAGATCCCTCCTATGTTGTTGATTGGAATGTAAAACAGCATAGTCACTTTAAAAACATTGGCAATTTCTTAAAAAATTAAATATACAACTACCATACAAGTTGCACTTCTGGATTTATATCCCTGAGAAATGAAAAACTATATTGGCTCAAAACTCTAGGCAAATGCTTACAGCAGCTTTATTTATAATAATGTCATTCAATGGGTAACTGGTTAAACCAAATACGATACATCTATTCCATGAAATACCAGTCAGCATAAAAAAAAAAAAAAGACCTGATACATACATTAACCTATATAAAATTTCAGAGAATTATACTGAGTGAAAAAAGCCAACCCTACAAGGTCATATATTAAATGATTCCACTTATATAATATTCTAGAAATGACATAATTATAGACATGGAGAATAGATTAGTGATTTCAAGCCTTGAAAAAGGAGTAAGAGAGGGAAGGAAAAGTAGAAATGGGCAGAGCACAGTGGTGCATGCCTGGAATTCCAGCAATTTGGGAGGCTGAGGCAGAGGACCACAAGTTAAAAGCCAGCCTCAGCAGCTTAAGGAGACCCTAAGTCTCAAAATAAAAAAATAAATAAATGAAAAGGGGTGGGGATGTGGCTCAGTGGCTAAGCTCCCCTAGGTTCAATCTCTGGTACCAAAAAAAGGAAAAGGAAAAAGAGGAATGGATATAAATGGGCCACTTAAGGAATTACTATATCTTGACTATATTAATATTTGTATCCTGGTCGTGATCTTGTTCTATATTTTTACAAAGGGATACCTATTCAGGGAAACTGAAGTAGTGGGGCAGGGCAAAGAGAATAAGAAACAGTAAGGACATAGAGTTGAGCCATGCAATAAACATAACTAGACTTAATATCTATTCAATAAACTAATAGATAAATTGGGCTGAGGTTGTGGCTCAGTGGTAGAGCGCTTGCCTTGAACATTTGATTTGATTCTCAGCACCACATATAAATAAATGAATAAAAGAAAGGTCCATCAAGAATTTTTTTTAAGTTTTTAAAAAATTTATATATATATATATATATATATATATATATATATATATATATATACACACACACACACACACACATATACACATACACACACACACTGCACCCAAATAACCACAGTATACACTTTATTTTCAACTGCACATGAAATCATGCTAGAAATCAGCAGCAAAGTATAATTTAAATAATAATTATAATAATCAGAACCCAATTGCTTGAAAGTTAATTAAGTACAACTCTATAAGTGAGTCAAGGAAGAATTCACTATGTTGATTACA